ATTCTCTAGCTTCTAGAAGAAGAAGAAAAGAGAAGTCGAAGAAACTGGGATTACTCAAGAACGGGTCTCGAAGAATTCGGAGATATTTTGCACATGTCAAGCAAACTGAAGCGTCAAAGGGGCCGCGATCTTGAGTGATGAATGCATGTGCGTATGCGAAAAGGGAAACGCGTACACTCATGATGAACACGTGGCTTTTAGTCGTAGTTCGCATGCGCTGATCCCAAACCGCGGGAATCTCCAAGTTTCAACCACCTCTGAAGCTTGGAGAGCTTGGAGAGCTTTGGAGAGCCTCCTAAAAGTCGGAGAGGATATAAGAACAGCTCTCGAACTTTTCGGAGAGTCTCCAACTTTTCCGAGAGGATTTAAGAACGCACCTATAGTATGTTTCGCGTCCCCCGCGCGCATGTATTTCACAGCCGGAGTTCAAAAAAAAAAAAAACGGAACAAAATTTTTTTTTTTTGAAAATGCAATACAAATTTAATGCAAACCCAGAAAACCGGAAAATGTAACTCAGCTCACGTACATGTGTGTGCAATAAGCTGGGCCGCAAGTCACACAATCATCATGCGGCCTGTGTTTGGACCACAACTTTGGCACAAGCATGGCAGAGGGGATACACTCATGTATTCATGTATGTACATGTCAATGTACATGAACAGTGCACGTCGCTTCACTGTACACAAATGCAATGCACGTACACTGTTTTTTTTGGATGGCTTTTTTTATTTTTTCGCCCTCCCTCATTGATTTCATCGAATAAGGTGACGCGAAACAGAGAAAAAAAACGGCGTGGCCTAATAATAATAATAATAATATCTACAAAAAATGTATTATCTACGCATGCATCTAGCTACGCAAGAGTCACCACCAGCCAATTAGGACATGTGTCAAAGTATTGAACGTTTTTGTTCCCTTCTTGTCAAAATACTACTTGTACAGGGAATTATGGAAATAAGCTAAACGACTACAACTATAAGGAAAAGAAGTTCAGAGATACATCACTCCAATTATGTGTAGAAGTGACACGAAAAATAGATGTGAAGAATCAAGAAACCAGCATGCAAATCCAATAAGTGACAAAAACGTAGTGACAAGAAAAGGAGAGAAATATCAAGAGATTCTTCACATCTTTTTTTCGTGTCACTTCTACACATAATTGGAGTGATGTATCTCTGAACTTATTTTCCTTATAGTTGTAGTCGTTTAGCTTATTTCCATCATTCCCTATAGTATTTTGACAAGAAGGGAACGAAAACGTTCAATATGACACATGTCCTAATTGGCTGGTGGTGACTCTTGCGTAGATAATACATTTTTTGTAATTATTTATTTATTTATTTATTACAGCAGCTCATAGCACAGTGAGAACACCGGCCAATACAAAGAGAGAGGGTGTTAGCCAACCACGGCAAGGAAGGGAGAAGGGGAGGAGAAGAAGAAGAAAAAAAAAACCGGCATGGATAAGTAGTGATTGCAACAAAATGAGAAACACAAAATCAAAGTCAAGGCGCGACAAGGCTCTTAAAAAGGCGGAGGGAAGAAAGGTCCTTAGCTTCTTGGGGAAGTGCCAGCCACGCAGAGTACGCAGTGAAAAGGGGAGAGTGAAGTAGAAAGGAGGACTTGGGTTTCGGAAGGGAAAGGGAGTTTCTCGTGCTACGGGAAGAAAACCAGTTGAAACAGTGGAGGTGAGGTGGATTTTCTGCATCCGTCCTAGTTTCAAATAATAAATAATAATAATAATCTACAGGTCTACCCTGATCGTTAGTACGACATGGGTTACAAGACAAACCTCATTAGGAGTAGATAATCAAGCGAGGTACAGAGGGCTTGATGGCTGATCAAAGCCCAAGGGTCCAGCCCGAGGGCCGTAGGCCCAAGGGCTGGGCCCGAGGGCTTTGATCAGTCATCAAGCCCGACTGTACCTCGCTTGAATATGCTTCAGACGATCCCCAACATTTTTTTTGACTTTGAATCAAACTCGCTTCATTCTTTGGGTGATCTCGAGTGTGGACAATGTCGGCCTTTCGTTTGGGATTTCAGAGCAGCCTGAAGTCTAAAGTGCATGTCGTTTTCGTCCCGTTCGTAAGTTTCACACAGAGATTACAGCAAAGGGAAAGTAATGTAAAACCTGTTTCGTGAGAAATTTCTCAGGACTCCGTGTCAAGAGCCAGACGTGGCTGAAGAGTCACGGAAGTATTTTCACTTACACCATACACGCCTTTTTTAGCCACCACATCCCCGACCACCACCCCTATCGGTTTCTTGTTCTTATACTTATAGCCAGATCACCTTGAAAAGACTGAGATTGGGCATGATCAGGGCTTTGATGGTTTTGTCGTACAGTTGCCAATGGCAGCGGGCTTTGATGGTTTTCCCGTACAGGTTGTCAATGACAGCGGGCTTTGATGGAATATCAAAGCCCGCTCTCCGAGGCTGCTGATTGGTCGTAACCTAGCAAAGGGCACGTGGGTCGTTTGAAGACAATGATCAAAAAATCATTACTGACATTAGGAGACAAGGATCAAAAAAACCTGACACCTGAAACGCATACAGTACATTCTAGTTCGGATTTCATGTCTACCCTCGTTAGTAGATAACCCGGGGGTTAGACAAAGTAAGTTAGTTGCGCCCGTAACTAACTATTACTTGCATGGAAGTCCAGATAAGAGAGAGTTGTGAGTGCAGTGCGGTGAGATCATGCAGAAGCGCGCATGTCAGATAAGTGCTAGCATACTGGTCTATGCCTATGGCACGTCACAGCAGCTAGCTGCTGAGCTACATGTAGAAGTCAGGAAAAAGTCTGCTGAAACACACACACTCTATTTCTCTGCTCCAAATTTGTTTGCACGAGCATCAGCATGCACACCCAGCTCTATCACACACAGCAGCCATTTGAACATGCGGTGAATGCAGACCTACTGCACAAGACTTCTTCAAGTTCTTGCCATAGCTAGATAATGGCGCTATGCGCCTTGGAAGAAAGCCAGCGCTGTAGCCCGAACTTATTGTCAGCAATACATAAGATTAAGGCAGAAAACTAAGGCAACGGCAGCTTCAGCATTTGCTAGGCTTCAGGAACCATGCTTTACTACTTCGTTTTTGAAGTACAAAAAACTCGCCAAGCGAAGAGTTATAGGCATATAGTCTTAGACCAGATCATCATGAGTCACACGACTACAGTCTGCAGCACACATTACAGCGGATAACGGCAGCGCACACTTAGAAGACAGTTGACCAGGGTGGGTGGGTAGGTGGGCAGCTGCACACTTGGCAAGAAGAAAAACAATGATCTGCAGAATCACAGCAACAGCACTTTCAACCACAGCACACTGCCCTCGTACCCGTTCCGCACGCACGTGCAAAAAAATTAACAGAGAACTAGATTTCTCGTTTCTTTCGCTTTGCTCAGCCAACGAGAAATAAACATCCCTCCCTCTCCCTCCCTCCCTCTCTCCCTCCCTCCCTTTCTCTCTCTCTCTCTCTCTCTCTCTCTCTCTCTCTCTCTCTCTCTCTCTCTCTCTCTCTCTCCCTCCCTCCCTCCCTCCCTCCCTCCCTCCCTCCCTCCCACCCTCCCTCCCTCCCTCCCTCCCTCCCTCCCTCCCTCCCTCCCTCCCTCCCTCCCTCCCTCTCTCTCTCTCTCTCTCTCTCTCTCTCTCTCTCTCTCTCTCTCTCTCTCTCTCTCTCTCTCCCTCTCCCTCTCCCTCTCCCTCTCCCTCTCCCTCTCCCTCTCCCTCTCCCTCTCCCTCTCCCCCACCACACATGCACGCACGCATGCATGCACGCACGCATGCATGCACGCACGCACGCACGCATGCACGCACGCATGCACGCACGCATGCATGCACGCATGCATGCACGCACCCATGCATGCACTCACGCATCTGTCCCTGGGGAAAATCCCGATTTCGCGGCCGCGTTTTTTCCGCGTTTTTTTCGATTTTTTAAAAGACCGCGTCTTCCGCGATTTTCCCGCGCTTTTTGAACTTTTTTGTTGCACTACATGTACACACAGTGCACTGTTCGGTCAGCAACGTCTCATCGTGGCGGCTTTGTACTCAAATATGACGAGTGCTTACACCAGGGACTTGTAACTGATTGGTTTCACTACATACACACTGAAAATAGCCTCATATCAACTGCAAACTTGCCGCATATCAATAATATTCACTGCATATTTACCGCGTATTTACCGCAAATTCACCGCAAATTATGCCACATTATGCCACGTTTTTTCCCGCGTTTTTTGCGATTTTTTTCCGCGATTTCCCCCGCGATTTTCCCCGGGGACAGACGCATGCACGCATGCATGCACGCACGCACACACACACACACACACACACACACACACACACACACACACACACACACACACACACCTATTGGCCTTTTGACGCCCATCGCTGGAGGCGATGATAGCAATGCTACGGCAGACTGAGCCATAGCAACTTGTGCTGGGATTGCACCATTCAACAGCTTGCAAGGCTGAAGAATTGACCGTCACTATTCAGCCTGGTCTACACCATACAGCTATTTGAAGTGACTTGTTCTGGCCAGTGAATCCCTATTTTTGGTCTTTTCGTGTTTTTTACCGCACACACATCACGCCACATACTCCGGCGTGCACTGGCTGTTGGTAACCACCCAGGAGAATGAAAGAAAAGTCAGGAAGAGTCTGAGAAAGAGAAGAAAGGTGTGTGTGACCATAATCGTTGGGAATCGAACCCGCAACCTATCGATTGGAAATCGCTGTACATACCACTGCACCATATTATGAGACACACACACACGCACACACACACACACGCACACACACACACACACACACACACACACACACACACACACACGCACGCACACACACACACACACACACTCCCCTCTAGCTTTGGCTTTGTTAAGCACTCCTTCTGTTTGGTGTCAAAGTTACCTGCCAATCAGTTCGGCCAGGGACTCTGAGCTCCGTTGATGAGATCTAACAATGCAAGGTCGAAACAGCTAGAAGTCCGGATATTGAATAGATTGGGTACACAAGGCAGAAAAACAGAGACCAAAAATCTTTCTCGTTGCTCCGAGTTTCGTGTTCAAAAACACTCATCAGACGAATGGGTACATGTATAATGTCCATATCACCTCCAACACTTAGTATTGCAACACCGCGGCTATGTAGATTTCAGAAACATAGTGCTACGGAAGTGCTAAAACATCAAGGTCGAGTAGCGCTTTGAAATCGAAGAAACGTTTTTTTAGGTAGTTGTATAAATGAAGGTAAAATACAATACGCGATAACTCAAAAGGGTGCATTATCTCAGTCGGCATTACACATCAGGTTGCGTTGCATTGATCTTTGACAAATCCTGGTTGCGGCATTAGTGGCAATGGCAAATTACTTCAGAAGTCAAGACATTAGTACGCTGCCGTAGACGTCAGCACAGCCAAAACAAGACAATGCATGAAACCAGCACCAAATTCGAGTATTGAAAAAAAGGACAGTAGCTGAAGTGAGGATTGAAGTCAGAAGGAATCAATCAATTTTCAAACATGCATATCGCTCAGTCAAACCTTAGGATCAGCATAGTTTTCAAGTTTACTTATGCTCACTGTATAAATACAGTAAATATAGGGAAATTACAACAGCACTGCCACAACAACAAGCACACATGCTCACACGCACAGATACACACACACACACGCACGCGTGCGCGCGCGCACACACACACACACACACATACACACACAATTCAAGAGAATAACATAATATACCCAGGAAGCTGGATACCTTTTGTTCAGCTGACACTTCAAATTTCAAAATAGAAAATTCCAGCCACATCCCCATGAGCAAAATCGATCCTTAAATATCACAGCTCAATCAAGTTCTCACACTTCAACGAAGCTTCGGCAAGCAATTAGCCTTCGCTGCCTCAAGTTCTCAGCACGGGTGCTCTCATTCTTGATCTCTTCCGTGAATTGAATGGGAGACTAGCCACGAGTGCCATTGCACCTCAAAACAATCACAGGTCAATCAAGTTCTCGGACTTCAACCGAGCTTCGGCAAGTAGTAGCCTTCGCTGCCTCAAGTTCTCAGCACGGGTATTCTCATTCTTGATCTCTTCCGTGAATTGAATGGGAAACCAGCCACGAGTGCCATCGCGCATCAACTCGCCATGACACCAATCTATATGTGCAGCAAAGAAAACAATCAATATGAATGCACTATTCGGCAGCAACAACAGTCTTCGGGTACCGCATATTTTATAAGTTCATGGTCATACACTACGGAGGTTTAGTCCCACGTTATGGATACGGGAACGTGGGTGATACACGTAAAGTTCATGCAATGGACCCACGTTCGCAATGTTGTCTTTAGTCACACGGAACAAACAAAAGCAAGAAGTGACAGGCCCAAACTTGGTCAAAGACGAAGCTTCGAAGCTCATCGAATATTTTGATTTCGTGCTTCGGAAACTTCTTCAGCTGAGCACCCTCACAGCTTGCACAATGCGCTCCATTCTGATTTTCACCCACGTTCTGGCGGAACGTGGGTGAGCCTCCATACAAGGTATGTCGTGAACCAGAAAACGTCTGTACGTGGGTCACTGAGTATCACGTGGTACACACACGTAAAGTACACACGGATTACGTGGGACTAAACCTCCCTACTGGCTGGGTACACACGTCTTCCAAAAGCAGGTTTGAGAAGGGCCAAAGTCAGTCTTGGATTCTCCAGGGCATTCAAATGCAGTTACCCTTGCAGTTACCCTTGCAGTTACCCTTGCAGTTACCCTTGCAGTTACCCTTGCAGTTACCCTTGCAGTTACCCTTGCAGTTACCCTTGCAGTTACCCTTGCAGTTACCCTTGCAGTTACCCTTGCAGTTACCCTTGCAGTTACCCTTGCAGTTACCCTTGCAGTTACCCTTGCAGTTACCCTTGCAGTTACCCTTGCAGTTACCCTTGCAGTTACCCTTGCAGTTACCCTTGCAGTTACCCTTGCAGTTACCCTTGCAGTTACCCTTGCAGTTACCCTTGCAGTTACCCTTGCAGTTACCCTTGCAGTTACCCTTGCAGTTACCCTTGCAGTTACCCTTGCAGTTACCCTTGCAGTTACCCTTGCAGTTACCCTTGCAGTTACCCTTGCAGTTACCCTTGCAGTTACCCTTGCAGTTACCCTTGCAGTTACCCTTGCAGTAGTGCCCTTGCAGTAGTGCCCTTGCAGTAGTGCCCTTGCAGTTACCCTTGCAGTAGTGCCCTTGCAGTAGTGCCCTTGCAGTTACCCTTGCAGTAGTGCCCTTGCAGTAGTGCCCTTGCAGTTACCCTTGCAGTTACCCTTGCAGTAGTGCCCTTGCAGTAGTGCCCTTGCAGTAGTGCCCTTGCAGTAGTGCCCTTGCAGTAGTGCCCTTGCAGTAGTGCCCTTGCAGTAGTGCCCTTGCAGTAGTGCCCTTGCAGTAGTGCCCTTGCAGTAGTGCCCTTGCAGTAGTGCCCTTGTCCCCATGGAAAGGTACTACTTTTAAAAGGTATTACTTTTACACACGAATAGAGACTCCAGGATCATTGTCTATCATTGCCTCAAGGTGTTTGGCTCGGTACATGCGTTTATTCTCTGGAATTCTCTGGAACATGCAGCCAACACAGATGGGTGACAGTGCAGCTGTGAGTAGCTGAAGCAAAACTGCCAACAGGCATGGCCAATAGTAGCGGAATCAAGATAAGTTTGCTTACTCTGATACACCACTGGATCATTGTGATGGCACACATGTACTGCATGATACACCACTGGATCATTGTGATGGCACACATGTACTGCATGATACACCACTGGATCATTGTGATGGCACACATGTACTGCATGATACACCACTGGATCATTGTGATGGCACCATGATGTACTGCATGATACACCACTGGATCATTGTGATGGCACACATGTACTGCATGATACACCACTGGATCATTGTGATGGCACACATGTACTGCATGATACACCACTGGATCATTGTGATGGCACACATGTACTGCATGATACACCACTGGATCATTGTGATGGCACACATGTACTGCATGATACACCACTGGATCATTGTGATGGCACACATGTACTGCATGATACACCACTGGATCATTGTGATGGCACCATGATGTACTGCATGATACACCACTGGATCATTGTCATGGCACCATGATGTACTGCATGATACACCACTGGATCATTGTGATGGCACCATGATGTACTGCATGATACACCACTGGGTCATTGCGATGGCACCATGATGTACTACATGATACACCACTGGATCATTGTCATGGCAACATGATGTACTGCATGATAAGCCCATGACCTAATACATGTGTTGTAACTGCCTTTTCTCTGCCTGCTTCCAGTCCCGTGCCATCTCCACACTTATACAAAGGGACGATGATAACTACATTTAGAAGACTGTTTATTGACACGACGACGAAACACAACTAGACATGACGAACTCAAGACGAAGACATCATGAACTCAAGACGAAGACAACATGAACTCGAGACGAAGACAGCATTTCACACCACAGCAACACGCGCATGCACCAACATGACGTACACACGACGTACACAAAATAACGTACTACAACATAACTCCCTCCCAAGAGTAGAATCGTCCTCGATTCTAATAATAAACAGAGTAAAAAGAGGAAAAGATCACACAAATCACTCAATCATACCACACCCGTCACACCCAGAAATAAAATACCTCTGCCTGCACTGCAGATTACAAAAACTCTGTCCGCCCACCCAGAACACCAGCCACGATCGCTGTCACACGTGTAGGAACTGATAACCTCAAAAACTCTAAACTATTTCACTCAACACACCACCTCACGATCACGCAAAAATTCTAAAATGTGAGAGCACAAATCATAGGAATAACAAAAAGAACAAAATCCACTGGCTCTGTGGGGGCCTCTAGTTATCCTCATAGAAGAGCAAATCAAAAAACGAACAGAACACACGCGCTGTGCGGGCGCCTCTTTACCCTCGAGGAGAGCAAATAATAAAGAACAAAATGTTGGGAGAACAGAAAATACACAACTCACATTCTCATCACGTTCACAACAACACACGTACCCTCTCACCAACGAAACTCCTCACGCCGTCTGCCATGTCGTCCGCCATCTCAAAGCGCTGCTCAGCGTCCACATCCTCACACTGCAGCCTTCACCTTCCATCCTTCTTTTTTTCTGTTTCAGTTTTTTCTTCTGGGCACAGTTTTACGTCGTGTCCGGGACCATCCATCCTTCTTTTTCCTTTCCTCTTCTTCTGGGCACAGTTTTACGTCGTGTCCGGGACCACCAGTGACGATGACTGACAAGAGACGGGAGAGACGAATGATGAAGGACGAGGACGACGGACGAACTTCTTCAAGACGGACAAAATTGTGACGATAGGACGACTGGAGATGACATCGGAAACTGGGAGCGAAGGCCACGCAGGACGAATCCAGAAGTTGAGATTTACAAATTTCCATTACCGCTGCCACCAATGTTGTAACTGCCACCAATGTTGTAGCTGCCACCAATGTTGTAACTAATGTTGTAACTGCCTTTTCTCTGCCTGCTCCCAGTCCCGTGCCATCTCCACACTTATACAAAGGGACGATGATAACTACATTTAGAAGACTGTTTATTGACACGACGACGAAACACAACTAGACATGACGAACTCAAGACGAAGACATCATGAACTCAAGACGAAGACAACATGAACTCGAGACGAAGACAGCATTTCACACCACAGCAACACGCGCATGCACCAACATGACGTACACACGACGTACACAAAATAACGTACTACAACACATGTACAGGCCATGAGACCATTGAGAAGAAATCACATGTCACCTTCGTGCTTCCCTTCATGTCCATATTAAGCATGTTTCACATTCGTACACTAACTGTTAACGCATCACACGTGTGTTCGAATTGTTAGGCAGCATATTATGGCGATAATATCAATAATTTCAGGCAGCTGATACTGTTCTTAAAATTAACTTACCATCTTCCATCTTTCGCAAGACCTTGACTACATCACCGGCTTGCAAGGCAAGTTCATCAGCCTGCTGTGGTGTGTAGTTGAACAAGACAACATGCTGCGGACAATCTGTATGCACAGTCACAGCAAGCCGCAGAAGCATGTGCATAAGCTGCTGGACGGAGAAGAAGCCTTACTTCCAGTTCCAGCAGTACTGTAGGCCTGCCTAACACGATAGGCTTGTGTTGGGAGGTGTTGGTAATGATGTCATTACAAGCTTGTCATTACAAAGTACGAACATACAACATCATTGCCGTACAAATAAACAAGACGTTGCATCAAGAAATCTTTAGCCACAATTGCAATGTAGGTAGGACAGGACTACTTGGAGATGGTAGCGCAACACAGTATCTGACGCATCACATAGTCACACATAATGCAAGTAAAGGAGTAAGGATATTGGAAGAGGCGGAAAAGATCCCACACGGTCTTACCATGCAGCTAGTCCCTAAAATTATCAACATACCATCTATTGTATTGCGTTCCATGCTAAGCGCTTTGAGCGCAAATTTCCTGGGACTAACATTACGAGTGTCGTAACTCAGGAATTGCTCTCCCTATTGCTTTAGGAATTGTTTGAGGCAACAGCTGAGAGTTTTCTCTTCGACTTACATATTCGATCTCTCCAAAAACCCAAGTTACGATAATTTGAAAACGCCTACCCCATCAAACATCGCGGGTGTTCGATCAATGTATAGGACGGCCAATAAAGGGACTACCTTTCACTCCCTCAAACTCCTGAAGATGGGCCTTGCCCGAAAATTCTAATAATTATCTCTTTTTCTTTTAGTGATTGGTGTAGCCCAGAGACCGTTTGGAGAGTGCCGTGAAGATTTATGGATATAGTGGATGGCTACAGCGGAGTCTTCGCATTTTGAGAAATGTGTCCCTCAAACTGAAATAATACCATACTTGCAATCGTGTTGTGTACATTTAGGATGCAGTATATCAGGCTAAAAATCATGACTGCCGACAATGCTCAATATGATATGCTTGGCATCTAATGTGCCCTAGGCAGCTCACATTCCTTTTTCAAACATGCTGGGCTCATGAGCCTCAGCGGATATGATAAATGCAACCAGATATGTCAGCTATCTAAATATGCAACACATCTGCCAAACGATGTCTCTTTCGATATCCCCCAAAAGCACAAGAACCCTAATGCACAGAGATTCTTGTTTGCATCACACTAGTAGTCAATGGGAAGATCACCACTGAACATAAAAGAAGAGGGAAACGTACTCCACATTTCATAGACAATTGACTTCTTCCCATCTGTCTCCGATGGTTCATCCTCCTCACGAAACGCATTCAACCAACGAGTCTTCTCAGTACTGTAGAGAAGAAATCAGAACAGACGCAATCATAATAATTATCAAGCACAGACATAATTATATGGATGTTCTTTGATTAGCCGTAACTACAGGCTAATCTTGCCATATCAAAACGCACAATAAAGAAGCAACACGGTACGACAATACATCTTTCGATCAGGGGGGGGGAGGGGGGGGGAGGGATCGATAAATTCTAAATGTTTAAACTATCAAAATTTGTTTAGAATCCAGTAGGATGCATCACACAGCTTTATTAGTAAAAAGGGATTGTGAGCACAACTGGCTCACCGTGACTCAATCACTGCATTTCACAAACTCATTTCAGGAAAAAAGTATTTCAATGTTTCGATCATAAATAACCATCATGAGGAATGAAGAGCAACCCTGCACCAGGAGCAGGGTTCATTGATTCTGAAAGATCAGATGGATCTGGGACGAGTATCAGCATCTGGATCCAACCACGCAATCACAGCATTATCCTTGTACATGACGAAACACAAATAATTACAAAGGTACGGAGGCTATTGAATGGAGGAAGACTCAAGACTATACCTGCAGCACGCTCCGGTCACACGTGTACACCACACAAGACATGGTTAGGGTAATGACATTGTATTTGCCAGCAATGGATCATTCTATAAACAACTACTCACAGTGAGTCCGTTCTCAAGATATACTCCTTATTCTTGCCATCCCAGTTCTCAAGGAAAACCAACTTGAATGCCGTATGCCCACGGTCATCATCCGCAGGTGTCGCTGAGCGCAACGGGGAGCCCTCCACTGACGCACCACCAACATTTCCACCATCTGTGGAGACATTCAGCATACTCGATGCTCTCTTTTTCTCCGCTTCCAGCACTTTGGACGGGAGCTCAGAGACAGTGCATTCCTCAAGAAGAGCTAACTGGAATGATGTGTAGTCAATAACTTGGTACTGGTAATCCCTGCAGAATTTAACACATACAGAGTGGCAAACCTTACTTACGGTTCCCCATTACGTATAGGTACATCTCCCTTTCCACCATCATCATAACATTGGGGCATGATCGTCCGTTTGATTTGCGAAGTAAATGATAAAAACAAATAAAAATACAATACACACAATCCATCATTTAGACTTTATTTGAAGGATTCTCCAAAAGTAAATGGATACTTATTGGGGGAGTTTCCTGGAAGGGTGGATGAGAGGAAAGGGAAGTGAAAAGGGAGAAGGGAAAATAGTACTTAGCAGAAACACTGCTCAGGGAAAACTACAGGTAAAACCACCAGGGAGAAACAGAATACGTGACCAGAGCTAGATACGAAAATGAGGAATTCCAGTGGTGGAGAATTTGTACGTTAAATAATGGTCCTTCAGGAGAAATCAGAAAAGCGTTGGAGAATAGGCACTCCCAGACAAAATTGACATTCTACTTAGCAGCAACAGATAGATTGTATCAACTTACTGCTTCTTCTTGAGCTTAGCAATGATAACCAGGTCATTGAAGAGGAAGAGGGTTACTTTATGTTTCTCCGGGTTCTTTGTCCAACCTTTCTTGCCCGGATGACCCGATACTTGTTGAAGATTTCCCGATCGCTTCAGGTAGCGTTTCTGAGAAACAAACGCCACAGGCTGCAGAAAATGGGGACAGAATAAGATAATCAACACCCATCAAAATGAATTCTCTTTGTGTCTTCTTTTGAAAGAAGTAGCAAAACTGCTTAAATTAGCAAGCCATATTGAATCATTCCCTGAGAGCATTGTTGTCCCTGCCACTTTTGCACAACGCCAGCCAAACCCATGACTGTCACCGAAAAAACAAAAATAACCAACAACAGCATTACCGACTACGCAGCCTTACTACTTTCGGATAATGACGTTCACAAAACCAACAACAGCATTACCGACTACGCAGCCTTACTACTTTCGGATAATGACGTTCACAAAACCAACAACAGCATTACCGACTACGCAGCCTTACTACTTTCGGATAATGACGTTCACAAAAGACAATCAATAATAACGATGATAAGAGGTCAGCAAATGTCAACAACTGTAACAAAGACCACCAGAGGGAGGGGAGTGGCACCTTGCGATGAAATCAACTGTAACAAAGACCACCAAAGGGAGGGGAGTGGCACCTTGCGATGAAATCAACTGTAACAAAGACCACCAAAGGGAGGGGAGTGGCACCTTGCGATGAAATCAACTGTAACAAAGACCACCAAAGGGAGGGGAGTGGCACCTTGCGATGAAATCAACTGTAACAAAGACCACCAAAGGGAGGGGAGTGGCACCTTGCGATGAAATCAACTGTAACAAAGACCACCAAAGGGAGGGGAGTGGCACCTTGCGATGAAATCAACTGTAACAAAGACCACCAAAGGGAGGGGAGTGGCACCTTGCGATGAAATCAACTGTAACAAAGACCACCAGAGGGAGGGGAGTGGCACCTTGCGATGAAACGGAAAACAGACTAAAACCTTCCACGGAAGTGCAATCACAACAGATTGTCAAGTCATTTTCGTTAAAGAACGCCGCTTCTTGTTTCATTCCTATGTCAATGAACGAGGAGTGCCACTTCCGGTGGTGTTCAAGTACACTAGTATGCATAAGAAATAGAGTCGAATGATATACGTAGTCATCACTGGAATAAACACCAGTCAGAAACTCCGCATTCTAAGGATATGCCCCAACATCAAATTTCCAGTATTTTTACACAAAGTACCAAAGTACGCACACGATGTGCTTTTATGAGGGCGGGCATTCAATCATGATTTTCTCGAAAAAATGATATGCAGCACACGGTTTTCTCGATAGTAGGTGATTCCGTAGATTTTCAGCAGTTTGCGATTATTCCGAGCGCAGTGCGGTAAAATACCATGGTTTACAGGGCGAAAAACGAATGCGTCGAATTCGACGCATTCGCCCTATGTACGACTGGTAAGGGTTAGCCCTCTCAGTGCCACGGGCGACTTTAGTCGCCCAAAATGAGTATGGGTGTACAAATAAATTCGTATCTCCACTTCTACACACAGGAGAGTTACAAACGACCACTCTACGTGTTCAGGAAGACCTTGGCTATGGACTCATCACATCGTTTTGGGTCCATGAGGATAGATATCGCCAGGGCGAAGCTTGAAGCGCGCGCGCTCGGAGAAACAATTGTCGCCCGTAGAAAACATGACGTATGCGCATCGCGGGTTTCTCTATTTCTTTCGCGGCAACCCATGCGTATTGGGTATCAAAACATCGAGATTTTCAGCGGCTTTCAGGCCAACTTTGTCCGAATTCCGTGCGTTGAAAGTTCACTGCACTGCGATCGATCGCGCGCGTGAGAAAGTGCAGATGCTACGAAAATGCAGAAAACGGACTTCGCTCAGGCGCCCTCGCGAGGAAGACTATTTTCGCTGCATATTCTCTTCACAGCTGTCTGCCTGGCCATGATATCTTTCCAGAGAGCCATCGTTTGTAAAGATCCGTGGATATACAGCTGAGCTATGAAAAATTTGAGTTCAGCTCAACTCAGAAAAATTTGAATTTTCCTGACCCCCTTGGCACTGAAAGGGTTAAATACGGACTTAGTCGGAGGGCTATTAGGCTAGGGGTCAAACGGGTGTTCCGGGTACCCGGGTACCCGCCCGTTAATTTCAGGTACCGTTAGTAAAGGTATACCCGTTTGGATTTCGATGATCCAGTCAGTACAGAAAAACACCGCTGGGACCGCGCATTCCAGGCGGGGATCAATTATTTATAACTCCACGCTGCATTTCTGCACTGTTGTTGCATTTTTACGACTCTGAAACGCGCTGCAGCTGGGCTGGGGCAGTACTGCATGCAGTAGAGTCTACGCACCACACGTGTCTTTGACTGGCTGCCGAGTGCCAAAACTAAAAAAATAGGAGTGCGGCCATACTTTTTTTCCTTTGCATTCCCGGTTTCGACTTTGTCAGATAGGAGCAGGCTGAAAGGCAGTCGTTCTCTCCATTTTAGTGCCAGTAAAGCTCCTCGTACTGGAGGTTTTTTGATTGCGATGTGAGCAACAAAAATGCAAGATGTAACTCGTTCCAGGTGGCAGTTGAGTTACTAGAAAGTTACGATGGTTCTCCTACATCGAACCTGCCACAGTACTGGAAGATGAACTCGTGTCACCAGGCTGAGTGTCACACAGTGATGCCCGTAGGTGGTAGCTATGAAACTCTTGGTTGTAGTTTGTTCCTTCATTCGACGAGCTTGGTCACAAGTTTAGTTGAAAAGTAGCTCGAAATATTGCATACACGATTACGGATTTGTGAAGATTCGTTTCACGAGTTCAACGAGCTAGCACTAGCAGCTAGCTGGCCAGCAGCACATCAGCTGTGTCAGGCACCCCAGCTCTGGGTGCGAACATCTTCTGAATGCGAAGAGCACCAGTTCTCTGTGAACATCGCTACCAGCAAATCGGATTGCGCGAGATCACGGAACTTTTGCTAAAACTACTCTATCCTGGCATGGCTTGAATCACATCAATCTGCAGTTGATTTGTGTAACTAACTTACATGACTGATTGTACATGTACATGTATAAAAATACTGTAGTATTAGGACTATTGTAACTGCAGTCCTCACCATCGTCTACACGGATTTCAAAAGCGTCGACCTCCATTTCGAAAACATGGTGGCTGGCCGCGCTACCCGTAGGCGCACGTGCCCACCGCGTGTCTTAGTGCGAGCTTCGAGCTAAAGATCATGTCGCCCACTCATTTTCCTGTGTTTCCCCATTTCTTCGAACTCGCTCAGCTTTTGCTTCAGCTTTTGCTTCGCTCGTGCTTCAGCTCCACGCTGTAGTCTGAGTTTAGTTCTCTTGTCTTCTTCCAGCAGAATACTGCAAACTCTACAGCACGTCGAGCTTCTCCTAGAAGAGTTTCTTTTGCGTCGAGGCAGACTGTCGATCGTTTCAGTCCTATCTTGCCGTCGTCTCATGAGCGCCCCGGAAAGCAACAGTATCTATTTTCTTGTCGTTCCATTTTCTGGCGAACTCATTCACCTACTACTTCTTCCTTTATGAAAGTTTCAGGTGGCTGAGTTCTCCCACTAGCGACAATCATGCCTTGGAAAAGAACAGGATATTCCTAAGGTATATACAGCCAGTGCAGTGATGTCAGTGTACTGCACTGCAAAAAGCACCTGCATGTGCATGTGTACTGCGCGTAGTTGTTGTTTGTTTTGTCGAGAAAGAATCCCTTTCGCACTCGCGCGGGCCGCGAGGGCGCAGCATGGAAACAGGTCTATTGAATTCATTTCTTGGTCGATTTTGACAACCAATACGTCGTTGTTTTTCTTTTTTTCACTGGCTATCCTTTCTCCGCTTCCGAATTGCGATGCCGTCCACCTGGAAAGCCTTGAAGTGAAACGAGTGGAGGCCGGTTTCGGAGGTAATTTTCGACCAAACGGCAATCAAATCGAAAAATTCGAAGCGGACGATCTGTTGGCATCTATCGAAAGAAGACGTTGGTCCATAAAAAATCTTTGGAAACTACACCGTATGAACCAAGGAATTACGGTAAGTTTGAGAATTTTGGTACATTAGCTGTACGCTGATTGGTCGATTAGCGCGACCGTTGAGAAACGGGCCAGTGACGCTTTGTACAGCGTTGGTGAGGGCTGAACTGCCTGTTAAGTTGTGTGCATGGGCAAATGTGCGGATGACATTCATTTGGAACTTCATTGCCATAAATTATTATGAGACACAAAACATAATGTGGTATCAAAATGTGAAGTGAGAATATACAAATTTAAACCATGATGTTATGTGAGAAATGCGCAAAAAATAAACATGGCTGCTAAAGGGTACCCGTTAACCCGCCCGATAAGAAAATTACCCGTTCGTTAGTTAACCCTTTCACTGCCACTGTCGACGAAAGTCGACAGCGCACTCATGCACTCTGAGTGCCACTGTCGACGAAAGTCGACAGCGCACTCATGCACTCTGAGTGCCACTGTCGACGAAAGTCGACAAGCAAACATGCAGTCCCCAGTGCCACCGTCGACTTTTGTCGACTGGCAGACCTCACCCAGTTTGGGCCGCTATTTTTGAATATTGGAGATGTTTAGCCGTGGTAGAGGGCCACTAGGCCCTAGAAGAGGTCCATACCCATCGAAATACGCTGCCAGAAGCATGGGTTGCCATTTGAAAAAAATCGAACCAGCGTCGTTGAAAATGCGCATCTGATTTTTAGCCGAGCGGCGCGGAAGAAATCGGTTCTCGCGCACTTCCACCTTGCTGAGTCGGTGCCAGTTTTTTTCTCTTTCCCGTCAACTTTCATTGCAAGGAGCATGACATTTGGTTCAGACTTGATGCCTAGCCATTGCCCAAGACTCCAGGCGGCTATCCATTGCGATAGGCGGTTGGAGTCACGGGTAGAGACAACCACACGACGGATTCCTCACGGACGCATTCACTGCAAACTTGGCGGAAACAGCGCTGGCGGCGCTCACTGAGTCCAGAACTAAAATTTTCTAAGAACTACCACGTTACAATGACGACCAGCACAGTCAAGAGACACTACAGGTATGTCAGCTACAACATAATTATAATTCTTTCTACAACGACACCTACCTCAGGCTCAATACCTGACGATCTACTGCAAGCTGATGCGAAAGTGCATTACACCCGCGAACGCCGCGCTTGTCAACGGAACAGGGAAGCGCTTCACTCTCCGAAGTCGAAATGTATTCGGACTGCTGCTAATCGGGAGAACAAACGACCACCATGGCGGCAGAACATTCCGCAGCTGTTCACCGACACGACCCGCTTCACCAAACGACTTACGATCGTTTCGTTCTCCGAGTTTTCTGGTGGCAGCAACTAGAATTTCGTCCGCAACAACAGGACGAAAGTCTCTCGCAACTGAAGTCCTGTTGCCACGAAGACAGAGAACATTCCGCACGCCATCTCTTCTGCTTTCAGTGTTGTAGCTCTCCGGTCCACTGGCAGATCTTTCAATCCCAGCTAACAAAAAAAGGATCTGCTTCTCTCTCCAAAACAACAACAACTAACTTTACTTCGCGAGTGTCCGGGCCGATCGTGTACATAGTGTATGTAGCGCATGTGGCGCACGGCGCACTTTCGCATGACATGACATGCATTTTTGCACAGCGGCTGGCGCTAGAGCGCGCAGCATGTTTGTACTTCGGATTTTGCGATTTTTTTCGACGGCAATGGCTTCCTTTATGAGTTGTCTACCTACGATGTATACTTTGGAAAGCGATATTCCGTACAGAAAGTACCAAAAAATCCATGAGAAGTTGGCCTTTCGATTTTTCGAGCTGGAGGCAAAAAGTGCCTGGCAGGGAGGGGGTGTACAGCTCAGCTGACAGCCTGGCAGGGAGCGCCTTGTCACCTTGAGTGGTCAGCTGGCAGTGAAAGGGTTAAAGGTACACCCGTTTGACCCATACTATTAGCGCACAAAGACACGAAGCCAGTTGTAAACCTGATGAGGCCTTTCGTACCATTACTTCTCAAACCAGTACAGTCATAGTGATAATGTGACAAAGCACAACAATGTCAATGTCAGTATATTGGCAGTAAAATTGTAATGAAACGTACACAGGCTGAATGATGGTGTGAGTTGCGCCAAAGAGTACAAGAAGTTCAAGAACCATAACATTTTGTGTGTGTGTGCATGTGTGCGTGAGCGCGTGCGCGCGTGTGTGTGTGTGTGTGTGTGTGTTTCGATTTTCCTACCTTAGTCTTTGAGTCGAATTTGACCTTTTTCTGTAGATTAATCAGCTCTTCCATTCTCTCCATGGAGCGTGCACCCTCATTGCACTGAGATACAAACTGCAATCACACATACACAACACAAAGCCAAACACACACACACACACACACACACACACACACACACACACACACACACACACACACACACACACACACACAAACATAAACATACACACTGGTTAGGGTACGTTAACACTCCGGGGAAAAGCTGGTGCAACGGGATGGTCGCCATGATTGCATGGTCAGGTTTACCACCAAACTGTGTTATGTGATCTACCTGCCAGCTACCCGCCAATGTGTGAAATCTTGCCAGCGCAAATTTCAGGCCGAGTAGCTTATTGCCAGCTTCACGCCAGAATGGGACTGCAAAACTACGGTGGCGTACCAGTAGATTTTGGAAGCAACGCCAGTGAAGTTCAGTTCAGTTATCGGTACATGTAGTTATTCTGTTCATGGCGTTTCAGTTCGTGGTTCTTTAGTACTTGAGTTAGTCCCAGTGAAAAAATATACAGTCTTCAGGGAAAGAGTCCTCTAATAAACACTGCGAAGCCAATCCAGCAAACTCAATATGAAATCCAATGCAAGGAGAGTAGGCTTCCTAGGTGATTCTTCCTAGGTGATTCGCTCCGCTACAAAATCCATGGAGTAAGAGTCCATAAAACCCAGTGCGTGAACTGCGAGCGGATTCATGTGATGGCAAAATTCCTCAATAGGATCATTTCAGTGCACCAGAGCATGCAAAGGTTCTCAACCAGGTGTTCTACTTCACAACTGCAGCTCAGTTGCATGCACTGCGCCATTTCTGGCTGTTTATCTGCATCAACTATAGCGTAAGACTCAAGCAGGTGTCTAACTTAGACTGTAATCTCGGGTTTTTCCTGTGCAGATACCCATGCAGATACCCATGCAGATACCCATGCAGGAGTTGTACTCTCTGCTTTTCATATACCTTTGCATGTACTTGGAAGCAAACTAGAGCCTAGCAATATGTCCTTACCAGCTGGACCTCCTGAAGTGCTTGCTGTGTAAGCACAGAGTGCGGGCTATCTTCCGGAAGGTAGTCCAGTATCGTCTAAAGTAGTGCACAATATTTGACATAAAAATGAGAAATATGTTAAAAGGGAGAAGAGTGAAGGAAAGAGAAAGAGGCTGAGACAAGACATCAACCGAGGCAGAGACAGACAGAGACAGACAATATTAAGTTAACCGTGGCCTCCCCATTACAGAGAGAGAGGAGAGAGGAGAGAGAGAGAGAGAGAGAAAGAAAGAGAGAGAGAGAGAGAGAGAGAGAGAGAGAGAGAGAGAGAGAGAGAGAAAGAAAGAGAGAGAAAGAAAGATAGAGAGAGCCGCTGCGTTCAGTGCTGGCAGGAGCATCCATTCGAGAAATGGAATCAGTTTGGATGTGCCTTTACTCCCGGTACCGCGGAGTTCTGGAGAGTGGAGATGAAACCAGCAAGTCGTAAAATATGTTTACAACTCCCAGTGGCGTGTCCAGGATTTGGCTGAGGGGGGGGGGGGGGGGGGTTGCGGCCGGGATGGGGTGGGGCCAGGGGGTCGTAAAATACTTTATTTTACGACTCCCTGGGTGGGGTAGACATCAAGTCATCATGCTACTGTCCCAGGTCAGCTATTTTGAAAACCGATGTCAAGAAGCCGTAAATCTCACACACCACGAGAGCAGTATTTCTGTACACGCAGCAACATTGTAGATCTACATTGTAAACTTCAAATTTGCCGTTATGTGTTATGTGAGCGAATCAACTGCAATTTGCCGTTATGTGAGCGAATCAACTGCAATTTACCGTTATGTGAGCGAATCAACTGCAATTTATGCGAGTCCAACAATTTCTCACCGCTCAAACACGAGTCAAAGCAATCTTTATGTCGTCACGGGTTTGAGAACCGCGAACGAACTGCCTCCACGCTCCTCGCCACGCCACACAACACAGGACTAGCACAAATTGTTAGAGAGCTTTTTCTTCTACTTCGCTTACAGTAAGGTGACTGGAGAACTCATGGTTATCAGACAACTAACACTGACAACGAACGACGGACGACTGCCACGGAGACAAGACTAGACAACAGAATATTATTAGATTGAAGGCATACAACGGGGACAAGACGAGCAAGTGTGTACCACCGGGGACAGAAGACGGTGCAGCCGCATGTACGCAGGAGTCAAAAACAGCGCAGCAGCATGTACCACGACTCAGCAGCATGTACAACAAAGAGACACAAAAGCAGCCACATGTACGACAAAGAGCTACACGTGCAACAGCATGTACAACGAAGAGACACAAGCGCAGCCACATGTACAACACTATCCCCCACCAAAAAAAAACATCCGCTCCTGTGGATGGAAGTGTATATATATGTTGGACTCAGTAGAGCGTCCAGCCCCTATATGATGTCCAACCCCTATATAGAGTCCATTGGTCCAAAATCCACTGTACAGAGTCCAAACTTGGAATCAACTGTGAGCTTAAAGTTTAGATGGACATCACTCCCTGTATAGAGTCCAGCCAATTGGCTTCACCCCTATATAGAGTCCATTGGTCCAAAATCAACTGTACGGAGTCCATACTTTGAAATCAACTATAAAGAGTCTTTATGTGGACAACACCCCCTGTATAAAGTCCAGCCAATTAGGCATCCCCTATCGAGTTCGAAAATAGACATAGGATCTGCTGTAAGCAGTGAATATTAACCAGAAAACGGCCTCTCCCTTTAATCCTTTACATACTTCTCAAGATAAAAAATATGTATTGAGGCGCCACTGCAGCCACTTCATTACATGAAAAACCCAACAAACACCATCCTCAAATCAAGTGGTCTCTTCGCAGACTCTGCAAATTACAACATCTCAATCATGTAGTGTTGCCAAATTATTGTGCACGCACACACACATGCACACACCCACACAACGCCAAGAAAATAACTAGAAAAAAACCAAGAATCGAAAGAGAATAATGGAGAGCCCAGGATTAATTATTTGTTTTCAAATTATTGTGCGCGCACACACACACACACACACACACAAACTTATACAACGCCAAGAAAACACCAAGAAAAGAGTAGAGACACAATACACACGCAACAGCCATGCAAACGTCCACCCATTTACATGTAAAGTCAAGAGGGATAACAAATAATTATACGAAACTAATGCGTACGGGGACGGGTACACGCACGTAAACATACACGTAGTAGTGTAAGAGAGTAACATAGTGCAGTGGTCAGCATAATACTAGCACATGCTGAGAGTGCAATAGCAAGCTTCACCATTGCTCATGGCCATGCAAATGTTCAGCACTCAGTTCCGCAAGCTTCTGAAGATCAGCACACCTGCAACAAATAGATAGCACAAGGATACGCTTATTACCGTAATGATGCATGGGAGCACACAACTACCAAGTTCTCAACGAATGTGATGCTCAATGAAAATCAATCCACTCAAAGACCTGTGAACAGGTGATGGTGGGGACAATAATCTATTAGTAATACGAGGAATAAGATCGTTTGTGCACACTCAAGACGCACAGACACACCAACATACATGTAGTGTACACAGTGTTTCACTTCACTGCAACTAAATTGAAATGAGATGATTTGAAAAATCTGTACAGCGTTGCTGTCAGTCAGTCTTCCCCAAGATGGAAATGCAATGATTTGTTGTCACGAGGCAGTTTCACTGACACAATGTCATGTTGGTGACATCAAAACGGTTACTTCAGGGAATACGAGTATTAGCTTGAGAAGCTTTTTTTGTCATTGGCATACAAGCAATCCTCCTAGTCCTACTACTACTACTAGTACACTGGCACTGCGTTTGTGGATCCCATTGTATTTGACATCATACTACAGGAAGAGTGTCGTGGAGTTCACATAATTATCACAGGGATAAACTTGAATACATTTCTCATGAAATAAAATAATAATTGATGATAGCTAGACGATCATATACGATTGATGCAAAGTCCTTGCAGTCCTTGAGGACTATTACGAAGTGGTTGATTACTTTTAGGGCATTCATTCAAGCAACATCAAACAAACGCGATACGCTCCTTGAAAATGGAAAAAAAATTCAAGCATAACGACAGAACAGCAGACCAATCGAAACGAGTAAAAGCTTCCTTACCTCAGTCATCGTCCTGCCATGTAGTTGGACAGCCTTTTGACACGGTGGTACAGGCAGCTCTTGTCCAGTCAAACAGGGGTATCCTTGTGGCGTCGAACGAAAGAGAGTGTCAGTGTATCTGACTCGTCAGATTGCAACTGTGCTGAACTTTTCTCTTTCTCCGCTTTCTGCTTTCATCCCTCGCTCTGATGAAACCGTTCAAACGTCTTACTGGCAGCAATGGCCAGCCAAACAGGGGATCCTTGTGGCGTCGAACGAAAGAGAGCGTCAGTGTACCTGACTCGTCAGATTTGAACTGTGCTGAACTTTTCTCGTTCTGCAATTTCTGCTTTCATCCCGCGCACTGATGAAACGTCTTCAGAGAACCACAAGACGCTTTCCAGATTTGATTTTGAACGTCTCCTTATCCTCCTTGGTTAGCTCGAGACAGATTACTGTCAGCAACTGCACAGCAGAATTGGCAGCCATGGCTGAAGTGAAGAAAGGAATGCGCTGCCACGAGGCAAGCAAAACTGAAAATGTGTTCTCTTTCGGGCACAACACACAGGACGGCGTGACTGGATAAACTGGACTCCTGGACTGTGAATAGGGGACTTGTAGAAAAAGTGTACTCCTTATAGGGGATTGCGCGGCAGGATGAAGCTGATCAAAACTGAGTGGACTCCTGGACTCTGTATAGTGGATTTTGGACCAATGGACTCTATATAGGGTGCTGGACATCATATAGTGCATGGACTCTATACTGAGTCCTACATATATATATAAAAAAAACAGAAGAAGACAGACCGGAGAAGAAGACAGAAAGACCGGGGAAATGAAATGTGGAGCAACATAAACAGGCGACAATAAAACAGAAAAGAAGTGGGGTCACAACAGTTGAATGCATGACGAGTAGGCCAGGAGGGTTAACACCAGTCGGGAGCCCCGCAAAACTGTGCATCAATCAAACGGAACCTGCAAGCAACAGATTTTGCAGAGGACCCCGGCTGGCGAGCTGTTCGACCTGTAGTTGTCCCTTTGGATCTTGATTATTTGAACAGCACCAACCTAGTACGCCACCCACCCAACAGTCAAGACAAACAAAAAGTACACAATGCATGAGGAAACAGGGTTAAGCCGACGGACCCAGCGACGCTGCCAAGAGCGGCGAGACCGACAGCACGCACCGACCGAGAAGAAGACTGGGGCAGCAGGACGCACACTGGCCGGCTGTCCGAAAACCGATGGCGCTACAGAAACTCCGAGAATCACAGGACACACACAGAAAGAGAGAAGGACTGACGCAAACATCTCAGCCATCACCAAAAATCAGAAAAGCACACGAAGGAAGGGAAGAACAGCCAGGAAGAACACGTCGACTGAAACAGGAGCAATTAATCAGTGAGGACACCATTCAGGACACACAAACAAATCGGTTACCAATACGCAAAAGATAATGAAGAAAAACCACAGGGCGCTACCCTGAAAAACCCACAGGTCTCTAACCTGAAAAAAACCACAGGGATTGAACCTGAAAAAAACCACAGGGATTGAACCTGAAAAAACCACAGGGATTGAACCTGAAAAACACGGAACTACATCCGCTTCGCAAATCATAACACCTGCAAGGCAAACCGATACAACAAAACACAGGATCCCTGCAGACCACCAGGCAGACCGTGGCTCACCATGATCAGACGCCCACCCAAACGAACTAGAGAGACCTATATGCCGAAACACAATTATTACAAAACCATACGCTCACAAAAAAATTCACCCTGGATCCGAAACGAGAATCCTACATGAAGTTCACACCTCCCACCAAACCGGAAGCCACCAGCTTTCCGACTGGGTGCACAGTGCATGACCGAGCCTGACAACGCTCTGCACGGAACATGGAGAAACTACTACTACTACTACTACTACTAGTGAAACGGTAGAAACACGAAACAAAACAATATGGATCGACTACAAATGAGGCAGCACCTCGAGAACGTTCACATGGTTCAGGTGGACATCCAAACAAATCACGTGACACAGTCACAATATCGGAGCGGTCCGACGGCAACTCCGTGACAAGCACAAGTGCACAACACAAGACGAGATCAAAGCTACCCATGCTGAATGCACGACGAGCAAGCAAAAACAAGTTCCAGATTCGAACGCGTAGCACACGAACAGAAGTTTGAAATTTTCATACACACAACCGTACAGTACAGGGTAGTCAGAGCGACACAGGAACAACGAACACAACGGGGCGAACTTACAACGAGCAGCTAGACTACACTACACACTCGAGCACAAGAGAACAAGGTTCCACGGACTTCCTGCCGGGACCAGAGTCACCCAACGCAAAACAATTTGAAAAAATTCGAAATCGAATACAAGTTACGGCAACACATTACGCAGAGTAGACAATTACAACGGCATTCTCACCTGAGTAGGCGCTCTCATGAGAGGCTTGGACGTTCGTGAGACTCAAGTAGCTGGGCCATGGCGAGAACACGAAGAGGAGACGAAAACACAGCTGATATGGAGACGAACTCAGGGTCGTGGATACGATTTGTTGGGCGCCAAATGTCGTCACGGGTTTGAGAACCGCGAACGAACTGCCTCCACGCTCCTCGCCACGCCACACAACACAGGACTAGCACAAATTGTTAGAGAGCTTTTTCTTCTACTTCGCTTACAGTAAGGTGACTGGAGAACTCATGGTTATCAGACAACTAACACTGACAACGAACGACGGACGACTGCCACGGAGACAAGACTAGACAACAGAATATATTAGATTGAAGGCATACAACGGGGACAAGACGAGCAAGTGTGTACCACCGGGGACAGAAGACGGTGCAGCCGCATGTACGCAGGAGTCAAAAACAGCGCAGCAGCATGTACCACGACTCAGCAGCATGTACAACAAAGAGACACAAAAGCAGCCACATGTACGACAAAGAGCTACACGTGCAACAGCATGTACAACGAAGAGACACAAGCGCAGCCACATGTACAACATTTACATAGGCAGCGGTACTATGTCCACTTGTCACTGTGCGCTGTTCTTCATGTTCTGGCTGCTCGCTGACAACAGGTGCTGCCACGTCTGGCGGAGTGTGACTGTCAGTCCGCTCCGAAAGTTCAACTGGAATAACAGCGACTTCATCACTCCCACTATTTCCTGTTGGAGCGGCAGCAGGAGTTGTGCCGCCACAGGAACGCTTTACAAAAAACCCAGGCTCTGCTGCCTAGAGCTTGGCCTTTTGGGTTGTCGCTGAGACATCGAAGAAAAGTCTTCGAGTCAACCAAAACACGATTCGAACGAGGATGATCGCCTGAGCCCTCGGCATTCGAATCGTGTTTTGGGTGACTCGAAGACTTTTCTTCGATGTTTGTACGTTGAAGACACGTCGAGCGCGTCCCAGCAGAGATCACACTGTACACTAGTACAGTGTACACAGTCAGGTCACCGTGTTTCTGTAGCGGCCGTGCGCTGCTCACTGTAGAATCTACGCTGTACTCTGTACTCTGTACTCTGTAGACTACTGTACTACATGTACTAGCCTAGTCTGTACAGACTATGGTGTGTAGTGTGTAGTGTGTAGTGTGTGGTGTGTGGTGTGTGGTGTGTGGTGTGTGGTGTGTGGTGTGTGGTGTGTAGTGTGTAGTGTGTGGTGTGTGGTGTGTGGTGTGTGGTGTGTGGTGTGTGGTGTGTAGTGTGTGGTGTGTAGTGTGTAGTGTGTAGTGTGTACAATCAACACCAGCTCGAGCACCGTACCGTGCAACCGCTTTTGGACGATCGTTTCAGGCCGCGCGCGCCCCGAGCCTTTGTAGCTAGCCCCGGCGCCTTGCCTTTTATTTTTCGAAACCAAGGTCGAAACTTTTGAGGGGGGGGGTGCCCCCCCCCCCCCCCCAAACCCGCCACTGACTCCCTGGCGGAAAGGAGTAATTGCCACCGCGGCGTATCACGCAGCTTGAAAGCCAACTTGAACGACGACGACATCACCAACGTTCAGCGGTGTAGGATGAAAGAAGCCGAGAAGGCTGAAAAGAGCTGAACAACGACTCAAGGGAGATGACGACTCGCGTGCAGCAGATGACGGCAGCGACGCAGGGTCGGAAATGAGTCGAGGGAAAGCGACGCACACTGAACTCTCTGCTCATTCCGCCAACAGTTTCTCATGTACAGACCCTGTACATAGGCTGAACTACCTTCATCCAGTGATTTACAGATGATACAAACTGTTCTTGACCTGCTCTAAGTGTTTTCATATCCATCAAACTCCATCACGAAGCTTTTGTTCACGGAGGAAGTGTATGTATTCCTTAGGGATGTAGCTTTCCAGAGAGCCCAGATCTGTTAAAAATCGACTCTAGCGTCTCAGCTAAAGCGCTGATTGAGCGGGGGGGGGGGGGGGGGGGAGCATGGTGCATGTAAGTTACGTATCGCATATTTTAGTTTGAATGGTTCCAGTTTGCACATGCATTATCTATTTTGTATAGTGCAAGGCAAGTGAGTATTTTTATCCACATGTCAGCACATGTCTGTTAGCTTGAAGGTGATTCGGTGGTCGTGTTCCTACTTTCTTGACTGTTGTCACCCAACTCTCACTGAAAGACAATCCAGCGGGGTTGTAAGGTACGGGAAACAATGCTGCATCAACTGATGGGCAGGATGCTTACTTACAACAATAAGCAAGGGAAGTCGAGTGATTCTCTGCATGGGCTGGAGGAGATAGGTTGAGAACGGAAGTTTCTGCCCAATGCCACTCTCGAGCTTTGTCAAGGCCTTCTTCAAAACAGGGTTGTCGCTGGAGAACAAAACGATACACAGTTACGCATATGGTTGTCAGCAAATAGAATAAACATCACGAAATCCCAATCCCATGCTTTCCCAAGAAGCTGAACTGTGTCATATGTCATACCAAGAGTACATAAACAAGAGGGTGCACTCTGTTGCCGATAAGATCCATGGAACAATATATCTTGTTGATGTCATCTCTTTCAGTGACCTTGAGCCGTCACATGCAACTCGGTACAATGCCTTCATTGCACGGTTGGGTGTTGGGCACTTGGATGCGTTTCACTTCTACTCAGAGTAGGAAAATACTTTCCTTGCCCAGTGTGTCATTCACCCTTCTTGAGAAAATGAAGCAAAGATAATTGAAGTAGAAAAGCCCAAGGAAGCAAAAGTAGGTTTTGACAAGCATGGACGACTGTGTGACATGATTTGTGACCTCAGGTAAAGTTGATGCCCACAACAAACCTGCCAAACTAAGGAAAGTAGGATGAACATTGACTTATGTACACTCGGCCACACATACCATCGGCGATTATGTTCATCCCACAGTTTTGTGTGCCACAGTACACAGAACAAAAACACTTACATCACTTTCTTGGCTTCCTGCAGCTGGTAAGTCTGATTTGTACAATATGTCACATACGGGTGGAAATGCTTCGTGACCTATGGGCAATGAATCAAGCAGGTAGTGGCATGAGATCAGGCATAAAATAACATGCATGGGGAACAGATAGAGCCACGTGCCAGAAACGAGCCACATAGCTCTGGATTGACGAGCCTGGAATATGCATTACTGTAAAAGCAGAATTTTTCGGTGGTGTTTATTTTCGGTAACTTCGGTGCCAACAACTTTTTACCTAAAATAAAACGCTAATGTTTAACGCTAATGTTTAAACCTAATGTTTAAAGGGGAAGTCCGGTGAAAAATTTAAATTTCAGGGTTGGTAGAGTTTCGGGCGCTGAATCGAATGGTGTTGGTCCCACGTGTCTCCGACAAAGCGTTCTCGAGATATTTCCGTTTGAAAAACTGAGTTTCGGGGGCTGCGCCATGACTTCATGCGGCCGCGCCACACCCTCTGCAACGTCATAGCGTGCAGCTAGGTCAAAAGGAGTGCGTGAAAGCAATAGTGTCAGTGCTATTTCAAATGATTTGGCGACTGATATTAGGTGGTGCAAGCGACCCCGAAGACCTGTAACTCCTTGTGAGAGTGAGGATGCAGCCATGGCTGACCTTCATGAGTTCGGTCTGGGGCTGAGAACCTCGGTATTCAGCTGAAGAAATGGCCGCGCGGGCCCGTCAAGAGTGAGCGTTACTGAGTTTCCGACTGATGAAGAAGCAGCAGCTATTGCAGACGAGGCTGATGAATTATCAGATCGCTGGAGAGCAGGGTCGCCAAAATGGAGAAGAGTGATGCGAGTGCTCTAAATGTTGTTCCATACCGATTAGATTCGCTTAGACTCCAGTGGCCTGCCACATGGTGATGTTTTGGTGCGAACTTGGAATATTTCGGACTACTCATTTGGAGAACAGTGCAGGCTCTTTGAACCACGGGCACGACTCTTCGCTCGCAACGCTATGGAATCTGACAGTTCTAGGTCCGGGAGCTGTTCCCTGTTTTGTCACTTGTCACGGTTGTGCACTCATCGCTGTAGCATAAAATAATGAGGCGGGAGCGGAAAACTAAAATTATCTTTCTCAAAGCACAATCACCGGCACCGGCAAGGAGAAACGCACGTTCTCTGACTACATGACTGTACACTACGACTGATACGAGTGTAGTACATGACAAGTCCGTGTGTTGACTAGTTTTCTGAGTCTTGTGTCAGTTGTGACTCGAGTCTTGTTGTAGATACTACCCCAGCACGGCAGTGCGGGAGTAGTTCCGTCTGTGATGAGTTTGTTGACTGCACCACAGCTAGATAACACACTGCACGCACTGCATGCACGCAGCGCACAGCGCGTAGAGGCTGACGGAAAAAGTCCAACTCGGAAACGGCTAAAATACGGTATAACCTCGAGGTTTACCGAGCTGAAAATCACAGGGTATGTAGTGTTTGTAACACTGAATCGAATGGTCTTGGTCCGAAGAAGCTGCGACAAACAGTTCCCCAATCGAACGCGCTCCGAATATGGCCATTTTTGTACACAACTAGATGGTGTGGCTACCTGGCTGCACGCTGTGACGTCATCACCTGGATCTGGGTGATGCGCGCTCAAATTCGCACATGTTCGATTGGGCGTATCTGACGAACCATAAGCCGCAGCCTCCTCGGACAAAGACCATTCGACTCAGCGACTCGAACTCTACGGACTGTGAAATTTAAATTTTTCACCGGACTTCCCCTTTAACACGCGTGGTACTAGTACTAGTACACTTACCTGGAACACGGGTTTACCAAAAATTTCCCTCCACCAAACTGCCAAATTTTGGAGAAAACCGAAAATATTACACAACCGAAAATTTCTGCTTTTACAGTACATGGATCTTTTGGAGGGCAATGTGAAGCGCATCACACTGGCTGCCCTTCGAACAGTTCATTAATACTCAGCCTAGAACTCATAATTAACCCCTTGTGCACTGGTGCATTTACCCTGTAACTCCAATCGACTCACAACAAAAACATGTTGAAGTTGACTGGGATCACACTGAAAAGTTGATGTATGGCTTAGGTACCGTATTTTCCGGGGTGTTAGCCGCACTTTGAAACGCTTAAAAAACTCAAAATCGCCCCTGCAGCCTAGACTCAGAATGCTGGCCATGAATCAGCCAGTGATATGGCTTACCATGCACAATATGCATGGATGGTGTCATTCGACTTCTTTTTTTCATGCACAGAAATCCATCATTGCAGTTGTATGATCCTTCTATGTTATCAGTTCAGAGTGAGGGACAAACAAAGTTTTCTTCACGGCTGAGCGTAGCGAAAGAGTGCAAAAAAACGTATTTTTCAGTCACAAATATTTTTGTGCATTTGCTCTTGTTCTGCGCAACTCCATTGCACCTGCCATAGTGGTCTTTGTTTTCCTCGTGGTAGTTGAAGTTGCCCGCCCACCCACCCCAGGCTTCATGGGGGTCTTCAGCTGTTCTTCTTGATATTCTATGCCAATGTGTGTGGCTTATAATTATAACATACAGTCAACTTCGCTAATAACGACTGCGGATATAACGACAATTCGCGAATAACGACAGAATTTCCATGCCCAGAGCAAAGTCCCATCCAACTCTAATTTATAGAATGAGACTTCGGGTATAACGACACTTCGCAAATAAGGACACTTTTCTGATGCCCTGCCGAGTGTCGTTATAAGCGAAGTTGACTGTACTCCGTTCATTAATTACAATTTCTTGTTTTCTCTATTCTTGGGTCCGACTGGCAGCGGGACAGGAAGTAATGAAATAGAAAGTTTTTTTGGCCGAAAGGAGGGTTTTTTCCTGTAGCCCGGTTGAGCGGCCGTTACTAGGAATGTAGGGAGTCACTGTTTTCAGGTGCTCCCCTGCTGGCCGGTCACCCATGTTCACCACTGGCCGTGCTGTTTCTCCTGATTTTGCGGCCTTTTCTCCCGGGTGCTAGCGGTTCTCTGATTGATTTAGATGTTTTCCGTCATTTATCTATTATGTGGCCGAAAGTGTGGTTTTCTTCTACTCATTTCTGGAAAACCACTACGGTGGTGATTGTGATTGCTCTGGTAGACTACTACCCCACGTACTGAACAGTTGCTTTGTGAGTGAAAAGGAACGTTTCCTGGAACTTCAGTCGAGCTTCTCAACTTTTAACCATGAGTGAACGTTTTGTATGTACTAGTACCCATCAAGTTTGGATGGCCAAAAATGCGAAATCTGACGTGCGGCTTATAATCCGAATGTCAAAAAGATACGAATTTTGGGACTGAAAAGGGGGTGCTTAGACCCCAGTGCGATTAAATGAGCGTTAGCATGCTAACGCAAGTTAACAGCCAGCCCAGCGAGCTGGCCCGACCTGCGCATGTGCGAGCAAGCGCCCTTCAAGATCTGGTACAGTCAACTTTGCGAATAACGACATTTGGCGGGGCATCAGAAAAGTGTCCTTATTCGCGAAGTGTCCTCCTTATACCCGAAGTCCCATTTTGAATGTATGTGAACCCATATTTTGTATAGTATGATATGCATATCAAAATGAAGCTCTTTTCATGCTCTATGCCAATGTATACGTTATTTTCATATTAAAATTGAAATGAACTATATAGTCAATATGGAAGGGAAATAGATTGAAAAATTAGCCTTTGGAGCCATCTACAGGGACTTGTACAAGACATACTGTACAGTCATGTATGATGATTACTGTACAATCATGTACAACTACATGTACATGTAGCTGTGCTGATCACTCCAACTGCATGTATTCAGAAGCAAAATGAAAAATAAATAAATAAAAGCCCCCCCCTGGCTGCATCTGCTTGCATGTGTGCCTTTACCCATCGCCATGGGTTCTGGTGCTTCTGCATGACAGGTACTGTAAAAGCCATATATATAACGAAGTGCTAACTCTAACGAGTTAACGAGGAGAAATCTGTCGTTAAAATAAAATCGTTATACAGAAATCGATACATACACTGTCCTATTGAGCGTTGAGAATAAGTGAGAATCGTTACCTTTGGTACATGTAAACCAGTCGATTTTGGGAAATCGTTATATATGCGCCTCGTTAGAATAATGGCTTTTACAGTACTTGAAATAGCTGTCAAAAGCCCAGAAAGTCGTTATTCAAGCAGTGAATATGACCTCGGGGCACTAAAAGCATGTCGTTATTCGCGAATTGTCGTTATTCAGATAGTTGTTATATCCGAAGTTACATGTATACAGTTAGATGGGACTTTGCTCTGGGCATGGAGATTTTGTCGTTATTCGCGAATTGTCGTTATATCCGCAGCAGTCGTTATTAGCGAATTGTGGTTATATCCGCAGCAGTCGTTATTAGCGAAGCTGACTGTACATGTCTCTTGCGTGTCATTGCTCTTTTTACTCTCGAGCGTGCAATTTGCGGAACATTTGTTCACACACAATTTCCTGTTTTGGTTTTCGAACTTGCTTTCTCGCATCTCTACGCTTCAAATTCAGACTTCAATGACGCTTGTTGGTGCCTGAAACAATGTCGTCGTCTACAGTGGACATCTAGCCTGCGCCACCATCAGGTCTCCTGAAATATCTCCACGCTTTGGTGACGCTTGTAGGTGCCTGAAACAATCCCGTCGTCTACTGTGGACCGTTCTAGCTTGCGCCAGCATCAGGTTTGCTGAAGTATCTCTACGCTTCAAATTAAGACCTCAGTGACCCATACTCGTGCCTGAAACAATGTCGTTGTCACCAACCAGCCATCCAGCCTCCTCGCTCTGCCTGGCTCCGCTGCCCGCAACCCGGACCCTACTGCGAACGCAGCAACAGCCGCCACGCAGCATCAACACTGCAACAGCAAGCGCGAGCCTGGCGATCGTATCCGGAGAGGCGAGTTCGTGGACTTTGATTTTCTGTTGGAAGACTTACATGTTTTAGTACAATATCAGCAATAGTCTCCACTGTGACTTGTTCCAAGAGGCGGCTTCTCAGCTCCTGCATGAAACTACAAACCATCAGAGAGAACACAGAGAAGAATGTCTTTCTCATTAAATGTTAGTACTTTTCTTGTTCATCACATTCATGGTTCCTCATCTTTCTGTATGTCATTCAGAAAGAAATTCGTGACATGTCGATCCAGTTGGTACTGTTGATGTCGATTTTGAAACAGAGAAGAAGTTTAATTTTACGCAATGATTATGGTGAATAAGGATACGATCGACAGGGAAGCACATCACCAATCAACAGTGAAATTTGCATTTACGACTACACTAGTAACTACATTACGAGTCGGGCAAGTCAGCACCACTTGAAAGTGCAAGCTCCAAAGTTGGTAGCCACCAAATTTCTCAACTACAGATTTAAGGAGCCTTGGAGCCTCCCCCAATCCATTTTGAATACAGTGCGATGCAGGGAGACATTTTTGCCTTGGGACTTGAAGTATCGAATTCGCTTACGCCTGATGTCCCTCCATCAGTTATGCTTGTCACATGCTATGAGATTGTGTCTAATAATAATAATAATAATAATGACACTGACACTTTAAAAGAAATCTGGTGTTCACCCCTACTTCAAAGTGCTTTCCCTCACCTCGGACGACAAGAGCATGAACTTCATGCACCACACACCACACCTACTTGTATATTCATTACCACATATGCCAGTCTATAAGGTTTTCCAATATGGCGACACAACCTTCTGGACTCAGTTGTTTCACTTTTACCATCGTCATCCCTCTACCCCGGCAAAATATGAAGAACATACTTATCACTGATTTTGGTGAGGGCGGAGATGTTCGAGAAGAGACGATGGTGCTCTGACTTCTCGATGAACAGCGTAGGCAGGTCACTCTGACCAGACGCATTGTTTACGCCAGTTGTTGATGGTAGGATACGTGGCATGAAGTGGTCCAGGACGACATGCAAGCTTTTGTTGTAGGACTCTTCCGATGATAGAACTTCAAACATTGCCTGGAGGAATACATTACAATAGCATTTGTGAATGGAAATATTTACAGGGGGAGTTGGAGAGAAAAGGATGACAATTGCCTGAATTGTACTTCATAGACCCATTAGTATCCTATCATGCTCACAAGCCATTCCAATAAGCACTAGAAATGTACCCCGTTCAGAGAGGAAAACCATGTGATTCACACCGATTGTATGTTTGTAGTGTGAAGAGCAGAATGCAGTGTTGCCACATCATTATAGCCAAATATCAGTAGGATGAAAAAAATGCATCATCCGGGGGCTTTGCCCCCGGACCCCCTCTCCCCCCCCCCCCATTCACAGTAACCCCAATGTACACACATGCGCGCACGCGCGGAACAGTTAAGAAACCTTTCACGGCTTTGCGTGAGACTCGGGCTGAGTTTGCTGATTTTCCCCAGACAGCTGATGATTCGATTAGTGCCTTAGGAGAGAGCTATGGGAACACTCGTGATGAGCAGTAATGGCCAAAAATCTGGACCATGACTTCTAAACGAAGCACAAGGGCAAACTTGGATACTTTCATGGCTGTTGTCGGCAGGAAAAGGTCAATTGTCGGCAGGTCATTACAGGCCTCAAAAATCGGCAGGCTACTGACATGTCGGCAGGTGTGGCAACACAGAGAATGAGAAACGGATAATTTGCCTGATCACTCTCTTACCTCCTGATGCTTTACCTCCGATGGAGACAACTGGTCCAGCACTCCACTATCCCTAACCTGAGAGTGAAAAGCAAACACACTCTGTCATCTCAGACATGCAAAGTCCTTCAACCAACAGTGGCGGATCCAGACGGGGCACGGGGGGGGGGGGCACGCCCCCCCCCCTTCAGGATCGTCGATTTTGGTTGGATGTGCAGTTTTCAGACGTGCAATGTTGCGTACCGGAGTCTTTTGAATTTGGGTTTTCGAATTTTGTTCTGGCATGATGAACACGAGCTCTCGAGGGTACATCAAGGCAAGACGATGGATGGAGAGTGAAAAGCAACCAAGGAATAGTACGACTTCCTGAAAGCGACAGTTGACGAAAATCAACTCATCTCACACTCCGAGGATAGCGTCTCATTTTGCACATTTGAACTGTTGTTAGTGCTCACCACTGTAACTGGGGAGTCAACATCAAATCTATGGAATGCAAGCCTGCGAGCAAGATCGAAAGCAGCCTGAAACGCCGGATGGATCAAACTCACGAGAGTGCAAGCGAAGTAATTATATGTGGGCTTTGCGTAGCGAAGTCTAGTTAGCCCTGGCACACCCGCAATATTGGCATATTGCTGTGAGTGTGTGTCACGTGGTTGTCCCTGCACGATTTGCAAGCTCGCAAAATTGTCCAGACATTCTTATAATTATGGTGTCATATCGGAAGACGTGTCTTCTTCAAGCTCTTGAGCTGTCGGGAGGTGAAGGAACCTTCCTTTGCAGTTGATTTCTTGATGTGTCAAAAGCAATGTGAGTGCGTAGTTCCGCAGATTTGGCAGTGGTGAGGATCTGGGCGTGTGCTGTACGTATGTGGATGTGCACGCAGCATGCGCGTATGCTATCGTGTGAAGTGGTGGATGATATGCAGAGGTCTTGTGGTGAGAGTTTGTGGGTACTGCTAGAGTTGCTAAGGCAAAAGCAGCCATCATGGCTGGGCAATATGGCTTGTTTGCTGGTACGGTATGTGCTTTTCTAGGCCAATAAGCAGTATGCGGTGTTGGCGATGAGTTAGCCAGTGAGTGGGCTCACGCGAGCAGCTTATGGTGTCCAGGGCATATATTCTCCGTCACATGTCTAGCGAAAGCTGGTGCGTGCATATGAGCACGTGTGTGCGTGTGTGGGCGTTCTTCGCGAGCTTGTATGAAGTTGTATGCCTGTGTAGGAAGAGAACATGCGGATGTGTAAGAGGCGAGAGAGAGAGTTCTCGTGGATACTGTGAAAGCCACAGTTTATATTGCTTTGCTAGCCGGTACCGTGTACCCTGGTTCAGATCGCATTGTTACTTAAGAGCATTTGATGATGTAGCGGTGGCATCATATGATTATGCATAGGTATAATGCTGAGGGTACAAGTACACCTTCCATAGTGGGAGTGCCATGGCTTCTAGGTCTATTATCCTTTTTGGGTGCCAGCGGGCATCATATTGTATCCGTGTGGTGTGACGCCTCATGTCAGGCAGTTGTGTGAGCCCTTGGCGGGCGAGTTCTTGGCCTCGGTGGTCGTTCGTTTGGCCTCGGTGGTCGTTCGTTTGCCCTCACGGGGCAGTATGAGATCGGCCCCAGCGGGCAGTATGCTTTTGCCCTTGGCGGGCAGGTCATCGACCTCGGTGGCTCTTTGTTTGCTCAATAGGCAGTATGATTCAGCCCTGGGTGGGCAGTACATGATCGGCCCACGGTGGGTAGTATGCTTTAGCCCTGGGTGGGCAGTACATGATCGGCCCATGGTGGGTAGTATGCTTTAGCCCTGGGTGGGCACTACTCTTTATACCCGTAGCTATGCAAAAGACGTTACTTCAGTAACGCCTGGCGCTAGCCAGGGTCCACACAGCTTTAATTCCGTGTTTGTGTGTTTGTGCCATCGGCATGCCTGGCGCTATCCCGTACCTGTCCCGTACCGTACCATCAAAGACAGCTGACCACAATATTCAAATAGGGCTTTCAATTGCAAGATCATAACGTGAAGCAACTTGGAAGAATGAGTATGTATGCGAAGTGTATCTGGGGAATGCATGCAGGGCGATAGTGCGGGTTCGAATCCCAGGTTATGTCTTTTAAAAAAATTGGAGAAATGAAAAATTCATATCATCCCTATGCTTTTTTGCCTAGGTCATCAAGGTGGTAGACGGTGTCGTATTACCCTTGAATGCAAAGAGAAAGTTTATTTATTTCGCTCAGGGCCCTACGCTATGCTTTTTTGCCTAGCTCATTATGCATGTTATTCGAACAGATGGACACTTTTTGCAATACAATGATGTAGCTAATCAGTTCGTTGTGGTATGGTTGGGCATTATAGCCGTCATGGTCGACGTAAAACACTAATTAAAATAATAATAATAATAATAATAATTCAAAGTATCAGTCGGGGAAGTGAACTGCCTGAAAAGAGAAAAAAAACGCCAGACCCACCAGGACGTTTTTTTTCTCTTTTCAGGCAGTTCACTTCCCCGACTGATACTTTGAATTTGAAGTTCTCCCAATCCTTTCCAAATAATAATAATAATAATAATAATAATAATGTACGAAGTAGTGGTTATAATAATAATGATAAATTTAAATAAATAAGACCGCAACGAAGTTGGGGCCAAAGAGAAAGTTATATCTCATACAATAATTTTATATAACCCAATAAATTCTGCAATTACTTTTGCCTAACTCATATCCAAACTGATTGAAACGTTTTCGCAATACAATGATGTAGCCAATCAATGGAAAAAAAACATTTCCATCAGTTCTAATAACATGCATGATGAGCAAGGCAAAAAAAGCATGGCACAGGGCCCTGAGCTTCCAAGCTCTCTAGTCCCTTGGCGGTAAGTTTGCTTTAACCCTCGGTGGGCAGGCTATTGGCGGTCGTTGTGCGCCCTCGGTAGGGCTGCATGCTTTAGCCTTCAGTAGGCATGCTGCTGGCCTCCGCGACTGTTCGTGCGCCCTCGGTTGGGCTATATGCTAATTCATGCGCCCTCGGTTGGGCTTTTTGCTAATTCGTGCGCCCTCGGTTGGGATATATGCGAATTCATGCACCCTCGGTTGGGCTATAATTATGCTTATTCATGCGCCCTCGGTCGGGCTATATGCCTATTCGTGCGCCCTCGAATAGGTTGTACGCTTATTCGCTCGCCCTCGGCTGGGCTGTATGCTTATTCGCGTGCCCTTTGTTGGGCTCAGCAGGGCAGGTTGCTGGCAGCGTCGGCCATTTGTGCGCCCTTGGTGGGCAGTACGCTAACGGCCCACGGCGGGCAGGATTAGTTAGTGATCGGTGGGCTGGCTGTTGGCCTCGGTGGCCGTTCGTGTTATCGGCCCACGGTGGGCAGCAGCAGGCTAGCCCTCGGTGGGCCATTCGTGCGTCTGCCCCCAGTAGGCAGTGTGAATCGCTGACAATCGAATGTGATGATATGACGCTACTATTGTCGTTTGGCTTCTTGGAACCGGTCTATTATCACATATTATTTATTATATAGACCTGCATTGAGCATAATTATTCTTTCTTGGTGGTGCTTTCTTGCAGGTTTGCCGAGTCGAAGGTTCGATGGACTTCTCGTGTTCTCTGGATGGCAGTCGTGAGTCAGTCAAGTGTCTAGTCGTCGGCGGAATAGCGCGAGCTCCAGTGTGGGAGCAAACCCTTTCCTAAACATATTCTTTTAACCCTTTAAGAGCCGCCCCATACTTGAATGCGTCGTAAACGACGCATTCAAATGCAAAACTTCAAAAGATCGTAACTCAGTCCAATCTCGCTCCAATCCATCGATCGAAATATCCAGGGCGAAGAGAAAACTCTCACCTGTCAGAAGAAACAATCCCCGAAGCGCTGCGAGCAACGGTTCCTGAGATAAATCACTCGTGAGTTGAGCCGCGATCGCGGCAATTTCAAAAGCGCGCAGTGCGACTTTAGTATTGAGAATTTGGAGACTTTTCGTCACGCTGGTTTACTTGAATTTGCACGGGTTTCACTGTTGATAATGTCAAGAGTACATAGCGAAACAATTGGAACTCCACGATCGAGTGTAATGAAATATCTGGAGCGGGACGCAATTGGACGCATTCCGGGCATTTTTCGTACTGTCGCTGCAATCTAGCGCTGGATAGGCAGTGTGCTGGCTATCATGATCGACCTCATTCTCTTCCTCTCGTGGAGACCGTTCCAGGAAGCCCTAGATTGTGAGGATTGAGTGAGTAGAACTGAAGCTATGATCCAAGGAACACGAAAAAATGAAGAATTTTGAAATTTTCCTGTGGCTCTTAAAGGGTTAAGATCTTTATTCAAAATGAAGTCATGGCAACACCCAACCCTCTGTGTCAATTGCTTGTGAGTGCATGCACATAGGTACGTCGTTGTACGCACAGACGGGTGCGTTGGAGTGTTTGCAATTATGTTTGTGCAGATGAATCTGTGTGTGTGCACATGCGCTCGCGTGCATGCGCCTGCTCGTGTGCGTATGTGGAGGTGTGCCCGCAGGTCTGGGTGTGTACCCGTGGGCCTGGGATAATAGTTTGTTTGTCACCAGTCAACTTGAGACTTGGTTCAAAAATACTATAAATTTAAAATATAGCTAGATAGTCAGTCGGAATGATTTTTTACATTGAGCCATTTACGATGATCATGCTCTGTTCCTACGACTGAGTGTTGCCTCTCACTTTGATACAAATACTCTCGTTACAAACCAGACCAACTCAGCCTGGAAGATGTTAAACATTGTATTAGGAGACTGATAATAACTTCACTCACAATGTCTAGATCCTGCCATAGTAAGCGCTGCTTATCCGATGGTGCTACGAGTGATATTGATCCATCAGCTGGACTAGGGGTGGGGGGTACCGCAGGTGCTGTGACCTTGCCTATTAATAGCAATGGAAAAGAAAAAATGTCAACAGCTCTTTTGTGATACACTGAATGGTCAACACGATCAGGAAATTCTAGGGGGCATAATGAATTGTCCCATAATATTAATAATACACATTGCAAATGAAGTCAACATAATTACACTCTCATCAATTATGTGCGCACAACTCATTACGCAAATGCCAATAATTATGTAATCACGGTTTACCATATTTTTTAAGAAGCATTCTCTATCTTTTGCAGGACTGACCCACATAGTCAACAATCAGGGCTGGCTGGCTGGCTGTGATGCTACAGTTTGCACAAAAGTCATCAGATCAGAATATACCGCCATTGGCCGCCAAACCCCGCATGGATACGTGTGCTCTATGTGTTAGATCCTTGAGAGTGGTGGGGTTACTACGGATCTCACGCGAACCGTGAATTTATTTTGTGTTCGTAGATTGATCATCGTACTAAGCCGTACTGCCTACTGTTACACGTGCTTCCAACACAGATTTTCTATCAAACTTACCAAAAATGATATCTTCATAGATGTCCTCTGTCCGATCATTGGATTGATCATCCAAGTCGTCGTCAGTAGACTCGCCAGCATCCACGGGAACGTCATCATAGATTGGATCAGCGCCACTCAGCGTGTGGTCAAAGTTTCCTGCCGCAGCTTTGCTCAGGGCCTGAGATGTGCTGCGCTCCTGAGCAGTCGAATAGCCAGAATCACTAGCTGCCAATGCAGGTTTGATATCAGCTGTTTCCACTTCACCGTAACCATGTGTGCTTGTTGTAGGCGGGTTCAAGCCACCAATGAACTGTTTGCCATTTTGCTTGCCATAATTCACAGCATTCTCACCTACTACAGGCTTTGAATGGTCGGGGGATAAAGCATCAGCGGACGAGGTTGTACTACTTGTATTGCTGTACGAATTGGCTTGGAGACACTCCAGCTCAGGACTTGGTGTGCACGGGATTGGGGTAGTGGAGCTACCTGGTGAAAGTGGACCACGTTCTGTGGGTGGTGAAGTGGCTAATGCAGCATTCGTCAGTTCCTTGACTGAGTTGTACCGGGTATGGCGCATCTCCTTTCTCTTGGCCTCAGCACTGCCAATGCCAGGTGGCTTGTCAGTAGACATTAGTTCAACAGTACTACCAGCTCGATATTGCTTACCTGGTGAGTATAGACATTGTGAGGTTGGTGGATCAGAAGTAGATACGGCACGTTGTTTCTTAGACTGATTGGTACTGAGGAAGGCATCTTGACTAAGTGTATCAGTAAGGCTAGTTGCGCGAATTGCTCTCGGCGAAGTCACAGTGCTCGATGTGCTGCTGTCAGTTTTGGTGGTCTTGCTAGTTGCTTGTAGTGATGGACTATCATCCAGGTTAAGCTTGGCGTTCGACATTTGTTTACTTCTCACTGGAGGGTTCCTTACTGCTGCCTGCTTCTCTTGCCGGCGGCCAATGTTAGGAGACACCTTGGAAGCCAAGTCACGGAAAGAGAAGCGCTTTGTTAAACTTGTAGCTCCTTTCTTTGCCGGTTCAGGTTGATCCAAGGTGCTTCTACTCAAAGTATCACTACTTGTAGTAGTTGTTGTTGTTGTAGATGATGATGATGATGGTGATGAAGAAGACGATGAAACACTGGAAATGCTACTACTCGTTGATACTCCTACGGAATTTGACACACAGGCTGGAGGAGAAAACGGTCTTGATTTCACACTAGAAGGAGCAGAGTGGAGGACGGGCTTGGCTGCTACGGGGGGTTTCTGCTGACCCGCTCCTCCCCACTTTTCAACGAGCTGCTTTACGCGTTCCTGAGATTCAGTCACCGTCAGTTGATCATGTGAGGTTTGTCGTCGCATGTGTCGTCCCAGAGAGTCAGTTGTGCTATCATGCACAGCTGCAGCTGATATAGAATGTGACATTCGCTTCATAGAAACAACATCACCTTCTTCTTGCTTGTAGCCTCCAGCAAACTTGACAAATGCTTCGGCAAATGCCTTGCGGGAGCACTCAACAACGGGTTGTCCAACAGCATAGTGGTCAGTGAGATCTGTGCGCCTAGCCAAGCTCGCTGCACGACTACGGATATGTTCCAGATCACGCTCAGGGTTACCAGCCTCCCCTCCGTTATCCACTGGAGATTGCTTGCTCGCTGGTCGATACGGAATACTGCTGCTGGGTATGGGCTCATAGGTCACCCTGCTGCTTGCATTACTAGAAGACAGTCGTTCAGGAACTTCTGGTGGGTAAGTAGAAGATTCATCTGTTGAAGAATACAAGGTAGGTTCAGCAGTATCTATCTGATCACGGGGTGGTGACACACTGCGTGATCTTGCAGGGCTGTTCGATCGGCTGCCACCGCTGGCCATACTTGAACCACGCTCAGTGATTAGCGGACGCACAGTGAGGCGTGTTGGAGAAAGAAGACTGTCTCGCTCCATACTCGACCGCTGGTTCGGAGACATTACTCGTTTGGGTGTACCAGGCTCATCCGCAGACCAGGAAAATGCAGAATCCCCAGACACTTGATCGCTACCTCTCATGTTTGCCATCGAGGAATACGAATGAGAGTGTGGACTGCGTGGCAATGATTGGGTCAAGCTGAGTCGTTCGCCACGCTTGGCACGAATAGCACCGTGCCGGGTCAATATACCAGGACTGCTCCGGCCGCTATGCGGAGATTCTGGTGACGCACCTCTGGGAGAAGTCCCTCTTGGTAGCGACTGTGCCTGGCGTTGATCTAACACAACCCCAAGACTAAAGGATGATGGGACTGCCTCTATTGCACTATCCCTATCTGGTGATGTTAGACCAGTGTCTTTAGATGGATAGACCTCATCTGCTGTGGATGACTTTGGCAAGTGTTCCTGTGCCACACTGTGATTTACTGGAGCAAAATGCTTCAGGCCAGGACCATCATCAACTGGTTGACGGGGCTTGTCCGGAGGATTGACAAATGCCTCAAATACTTGAGGTCGCTCAAGATCTTGGCTGTCTTGAACAGGAGCAAACCTAAAAGCAGCAAGCGGCGGAGATCGCTTTGGCTTTCCTATGGCTTGTGGCTGAAGAGGTGCACTGGGAACGCTGGGTTTCTTTGGGATGGGTGGTTTGTTGGTCCCTGGTGCAACTTTACGAACTTTAGGCCCTGGTACTTTTGGCTTTGGTGGAGGTTTCGGCTTCTTTCTGACCTCCGGGCCAGGTCCAGGCTCCAATGTTGATACAGATGTCTCAAATGCTGGCCTCTCCCGTGGCGAAAAATGGGCCGGCAGAGAATCTAAAACAGAAAATTCAACAACAACAACAACAACAACAACAACAACAACAAACAACAACAACAACAACAACAACAACAACAACAACAACAACAACAATAACAGCAGCCGCAGCAGCAGCAGCAGCAGCAACAACAACAACAACAAAGCTCATTAGTTGGTGGACGTCGAAAAGGTCTGAGTAAGATTAATTGACAGTCATCACTGGGACTCAAACCAGGAAACTGCGCTACAGGCCGGCGCTGCTATACTTCTAAACTATGGTGTGTAGTTGTTAACTCAGCAGAGACACTTAAATACTTGGTCCGCGTCATCAATACTGTCGCTTATCTTTCAGCTTTGTTTTTACGTCGCCAATGCTCATTTGGCAGCCCATTTCATCCCAATTTTGGTTAGTAAGTTAGTTTACTAGTACCTGAAAGGTCTAGCTAGATTTCGAGTGGATTTCGAGAACGACGGGTGGGTGATTCTGATTTTTACCACGCTGCGCTGAAATAGATTATCTTGTCACACTGTGCAGCAAGAGCAGCGCGACGCACAAGAAAGTAATCGGCAACTCGGAATCAGTTCCATTTTGCAAACGGTCGAGATCGTTTACCTCGGGGATTGCTCACCAAGCTGAGATCGCAGTTCCCTCACCTCCATCTCAACGCTCGGAGTATCCAGCGCGTCGTGGAGATTTACAAGTATTGTACACGTCGTCGTCGTTCAAATAAAATCTTGCAAAGAACGGGGACTGATTCGGACCACACAGGTAGTCGTGCTGCCCTCGCAATGTCCTATAGAGGAGGCAACCGTCACGATCGATTTCCCTTTAGAAAATAGCCAGGCAGCGGAGAGGAATGAGCTTGCGAAAGCGAGAGTCAATCCCGAGCAAAATAGTTGTCACCAGCGCCGAGAGCAGTGACGAGGGGGAGCAAAAAAGTATGAACCCTTCCTTGGACAATAAATTCATCATGGCTAGTTCTCATTCTATATGTATACCTTACTTTCCATCGTACCAAGTTTATCATCTCAAGTGCACGCGTTGTTGTCCAAAGTCTAAGTTCAAATTGTCAAAAGATAAGCAACAATGTAGATGACGCGGACCAAGTATTTTCTTCCGACTTTATAAAGCCAGCGCTTCCCGTGAAACGAAACAGACTTTTGGGACGCAGTCCTCACTTTACCCACACGTTGTGGTTTAATTGGCAAACGTCACACATCTCCAGTCAGAAACCTAACGCTGTGTAAATAAGTGAGTTGTCACACCACAACCATATACCGTATTTTCCGGAGTATAGTGCGCACTTTAGATGTGTTATTTTAGGCCCTAAATCGCAGGTGCGCACTATGCTCCGAATATGAAATGCATGTACTTCAATGAAGATTGAAGTGCGCACCCCCAATGAAGATTGGGGGTTCGCGTTACACAAAGGTGCGCACTATACTCCGAAAAATACGGTAATTACTACGCAAGTTATAGAACAGTAGCAGAGCCAGCCAGCACATAACAAAGGGAGCCCAGTTAGTTATGACTGTATTGTTAATGCCCTAATGTTCATGACGTAGTAATGTTCGCTATTTTCGTGAGAAGAGTGTAACGCAAATATTACCCGGTGGGTGTATGTACAGTAAGACCTGTAACTAAGTAAGATCTATTGTCTGATGATTGCCTATAGGCATACAACTATTTGTTATAACCAAATGGTGTGTGGTGCTCTGTGACTTGTGTGTAAAACCTGCAATTAACGTCCACCCCTTAGGGCCAGAAAAAGCGGTCTCTAATGGCAGGCGGTTTTTAGTTTGAAGTTTGCACCGCACAGCCATATATGGATCCCATCATATGATATGTAGGTTAAAATGCAGCTAGTACACTTCCCCACCACTTGGACAATGCCATAGCACAACACTTAGAGAGAAAGACATTTTTAATGTTTTATTGCTGACATCACATTCCGTTGCTACTTCTGAAACCAGGAGCCAAGCACTTCCTGCGGAAGTTTCGCTTTGAGGTGTGCTTCAAATTTGTTCATGAAGTCACCAACTTTGTGATGTTGCAATCGTGCGAGTTTTCTGACCTACAAAGACCATCATGTGAGTACCGTAGCATTCAAGCACCGCATTGTTCGTCTAGTATGTGACCAGGTGACTGGGGTGATTGCACTTCGACAGAGCCAGCCAGTCTTCGTTTCTCCTTCCAGCAGTAACATCAATCAGAGAGTGCTTTAGATGTGCTCTCCAAGACGTTTCCTATCATGTTTGATCTTGACAGCATTTGAAACTAAGATCCAGATGCTGTCCATAGTCAAAATGAGCCATATCTGATTTTATCAATGGAAGGCGCCCTACGCAAAACACACCACAAACTATGTGGCACTGTTCTAGGCTAGACAATAAGACTTAGTATAATTAGGATGGAATGGACACCTGCAATCCTCTGACATGGTGGGCTGGCAGACTGCTCATCTCTAAGTGCAGTAGCTCTCTAACCCTCAGAAGTCAGATGCACACAAGTTAGTTCGACCTACAACATATCTTCCCCTGTCAAAGGGAGTGCCTGGCAACACCATCAGCATCAGACTTCACATTTTTTAGGAATTCCCATTCAATGTTCCGCCCAGAGCCTATAATGGTGTCCACACAACAGGCAGTGGAGCATTCCAGCACAAACATACGAACAACCGACATGCGAGACAAACCAGTATTACTCAGGCACCAGCTCGACATTCTATTATTTAGTAATTATTTTCTCTACTAGCTGTTAGACTCCAGTTCTCTTCCTGTCTGTCAATTGTCAAACACCATGCCATGGTGTGTGCCTGCTGCAGCCATGCTGAACAGGAAGGAAAGCTCCACAAGTACGTGTGACTGCAATGTCTGTACATTTATGTGATTGTACAACAAGTAACTTAGTTACATAGCATGATACTGAAACACACTTGGCTACATGGTAAGAGTTGGTTCGTGAACACGCATGGCAGTACTAGTTCAGGAACGTGACGTCGTTAGATCTACACTATGTACATGTACTGATGTAGTGGAACTACTCATAACGTTACTATGATTAATTTTTATTCACCGCCTTACTCGATTTTCGTTCTTGCAAAACATACGGAGCATCGTGAACACTGCCGTATCCATTCTCAGGGTAGATCCTGGCCCCATGGCCCCCTCGCTTGATGTGCTTTAGTGAGAGGCCACCGAGAACACACTGTGCTAGCGCCATGGATCGTCCGTGCCGTCTAGTCTACTGCCAACCCACCGACATGGAGCACTGTCAAAGAGCCGGTCGTTATTGAGCGGAAACTCTACGTTCGTCCTGTCTTCCGGTACAGGACGACGATGAATGATGAATCAGTGTAAGGAAGTGGAGAGAACGTGCTTTTGTAACAACAACAAAACCCGCTGTCAGTGTCGATTCCACTCCCAACACACTACTGCCTGAAAAACGACATTGAAAGGAGACTACAGTGTTGTACCAATGAAGAAGATCTGGAAAAGATGAGGATCTCACACAAGCAACTGCAAAGCGTAGATATACCAAGTCGTAACTGCCCGGTCGTGCCGCGCGCACTCACGATTCAGATTGAAGAGTGCCCTTGGCTTTCCACCGAAGTCCACTTGTCCGTGCCCCTCTAGCTGTGTCTGCAAATAATGAAATATCTCAGTAGAATGCAATGATGGTGTGAACTGACGTCAGTGTGTACTGCAAGTCTACTACTAGTACATGGGGAACGACATCCCATTGCAATCACCTCTCGCGCGCAGGACTCGAAGTCAAAATATGAACTACTAATAATACTATCATAAGGGTAGGGACACGATAAACGGGCACATGATGTGCTTCCAATACAAATATCTATGATCTAGCACATTCAATGGCCCTCAACACGGAGACCCATGACTCTCGACCACTGCCACTGGTACATGTTACGTACTCACTAATTATTTTCTCGACTCACAAGGACTCCCACCCCAGATGCAGATGCCACAATGACATTGCTAGCTAACTAGCAAAATATTAATTGATTCAACACGTTCATCAGCACCTCACCTGGAGTACGGCAAGCCGCTCTCCCCCAAGTCTCACGGACATCCGACCAGTACACCACGTACACAGCTCATAAAAAGGTGCATTTTAGGAGTCTGTAGTAACTGTTACTGGTAGATTGACCACTGCCCGCACTGGTGTGAACACGAACTACTTGCCAAATCGACACAGCAGCAGCAGCGTACATCCAACACAGCGCAGTCAGTACGGTCTGCTGCAGATGTCTACCGCTAGCGCTGTCCGCTGCGTAGATCTACTGTATCGCACTCTCTTTCCCTCTTTGCACACTTTCGATGAACGGTAGCTTGCAGGGAAGTGGAAGCCTCTGCGAGTAGATGTAGAGTTTCGGCTCTCACAGCCCAGAGGAAGAAAGCAGGAAAAAAGTCTAGAAACGACTGTATTTTCAAGCGACACACGTAACGTCGTTGCAGTGTCACACGGCACTGTACTCACCTGCGCTGAATCGACGTCCTTGGACACAGGCAAAGCGCACGGGGCTGAAGCGGGCAGGAGTGAAGTAGCTAGCGTAGGTTGGCAGTGAGAAAATGTAGCAACAGCTAGCACTAGCAGGTCGACGACAGATAGGCAGGCATTCCGCCACCGGTATAATCTACTACATGCAGTAGAGCCAGTAGTCCAACCGGCCTGAGGCTTGCACTTTGCAGAGATACGAAGTCAAAGACGTCGTCTTTCTCAGCTGGGCTAGACTAGACTCTAGACTAGAGTCACAAAAACCAAAACAAAAAGGCTTGTGTACAGAAGTAGATCGATCGGGCTGTACCTGTGTGGCTGTACCTGTGTGGCTGTACCATAATACCAGTGCTGAAGCGATCAATCGATACCGTTCAGGGAAAGAGGTGAAAGTCTTTGAAACCCGACCCACGCGTTGCTCGAAGTAAGTCGTTATTTCTATCCCTGCCCATACCATGCATAGGATTGAGTGACATAAGTCACTGTAAACTGGATAGGAGTCGATGTTAGCTCTACCCCTGGCCTGTGACTGGACCCTTTGCCGATTTGCGCAGAGAGTGAGAGAGGTCGATACACCAACGTTCCTGCACGACGCACTTCAGTTCAGGCATGGCGACTTGGGAGAAAACTAGTATTGACACGGCCAGTGTGGCAGAGTCGGACTCTCACTGTGCCACTGGTGAGTGGAGAAGCTAATATTTTTAGTACTAGACTAGAGCTAGCGGAGACAATCCGGATACGGGTACAGATAGTAGCTGGTTGGTCTACTACTACTACTACTACTAGTAGTAGTACTTGGTGCATGCAAGTAATCACAGTCCGCTGTAACATCACAACTAAACTCACAAGAAGGCAGTACTTTACACTCATGGGCACACGACTCGTGATGAGCCAACTAGGCATCAATCCGCTTTTCGCTGAGGCCACTCACGTTCAGCTCACGGATCCACTGGCACTGGTCACAGCTATAGCTTTCACCATTCACAACTAATTATTTACTCAGCTGCTGCCTCTGCTATCTGCTGGGCCATGGGCAGCTCGGACATGTAACACACACCACACACACACACACACACACACACACACACACACACACACACACCGGAACGCTGGGATAACCAGCCTTTCCAGTTCGCTGAAGCTTTTTGATTTGCACAACTCTGATGACATCAAGAGATGAGGGGCGTAGATTCACTATTCCCCGTGTTAGTAGAGCGACAATTGCCCGGTGTGGTGGGTAGTCTTACCTGTATCCTCATGCTCGGCGACTCCATTGCAGGATGCGGGGAAATTGCTCGGGCCATTGCCTACCGCCACGTCCGCAACGCTCTGTAACATCGCCATATTGCTAGCTAAACAACTCTTCCCCAGCATCCATCAGCTCCAATGATTATGTGCCAATCCGGGGCGAGAGCTCGCTGAAACTACGTTTACTAGTGACAATTGAGTGCGTGCAAACAACGAGCAACACTTTCCTTGAGTCGAGACCAGTCCCGACACACACAGTTCAAGTACGTAACGTCGTTTGAAAACCGGACTAGCTGCGACTAAACATTAAATATTGCGCGTGGAAGTAAGATGTCAGCAGATGCTAGGTCGAGATTGGTTGTTTTCACGAAAGCTGCTCAGCTAATCCCAGATTTCCTACAGACTCCTGACGGTCCGTACCGCGCCGGAATCCGCTGAACCCACTCAGACTCTGCTTTGTTACGCTACTGGAGTACTGGAGAGCGACACTGGCGACGGCAAGAGAGCTCAACTCAGACAGACTGCAAAGGGGAATGTAGCATTTCCCTTTGGCCGTGGATGCACTGGCAGTTGCACTGGTAGTACTGAGTCTGTGGCAGGCCCACATATCATTACTATCATTACTCGACATTAGAGTACCAGGCATTCCCTTCAATCTTCATGTCCAGCGGGCTGCTGCTGCTGCTGCTGCTGCTACTACATGTATACAGTGCTAGTACTAGTAGTATTACTACTTCAGACTTGTAGTTGTACAGTCTTTGTTGTAGTAGATCTACTACATGTACGTCATTGTGTACATGATGAAGTGGATCTACTACTCTGTCATGCACTAATTATTATACCCGAGCATTGAACGGCTGGTTTGTTTGTAGTCTCTTGTCTTGACAGTCTGCAGTCCAGTCCAGGACGTGCTGCTGCCAGTAGCAGGCACCATGTCACTGGAAAGCCAAGAAAATGCACCGCGCGCTGTAGCGCACGGGCACTTGTTGGGAATAAAACATACAGTAATGACTGTAGTCTGTAGAGAGAATGTAGAGTAGATTATATTTATAGATCCGAAGCGTGCTGCCCGCATGCCTGCCAGGCAGTGTCGCAAATGGCATTGATGCATATGACTGTGCTATGCTTGTGCGAGATCGGGAAATCAAGGTCCAGAAAGCGTGGACAAAAGTCTGAAGTCAAGAGAAGACAGATCAGAACTATTTCCTAGGCTACATCGATTGTGAATGGGTGGCAGCTGAGGAAGGAATCTCTACTCATTTCCTCGACCGACCAAGCTAGACCGTTACACGTGGCGTGTCTAGTACTCAGCTGATCAGCTGATCAGTGATCAGTACTGTACTCTGACTACACTGAGTCTAGACTCTAGTCTGTTTGTATTGTAGTATAGTATTAGTACTACTAGTAATACTGTAGATCTACTCAGTAGTAGTACACTACAGTACAGTAGTCTTTATCGATCCTGCCATGACTACCCTGCATGCAGCCTGGCATTGGCAAGCGAAACACCTGTGCACGTAAATCATGTAAATACATTTTCGAAAATGAAATACTGTACTGTACAGTGAGTCATGTACTCTGGCGTGCACAAGACTGTTCTCATTCGCTGCGTTGTTGTGATGTACTTTTAAAAAGGGGAAGTATACCCTAAAATCAAATTTTCACCAGTTGTAGTCTTCGGGGTGCTGAGTCGAATGGTCTTGGTCCGAGGAAGCTGAGACGCTCCCTTCCTCCTTTATTCCCAATCGAACTCGCGCACTTCCACCGAAACTGGGTGACTGCGCCCTACTAGATGGGGATTTGTATGCAAAATGTCACTAAAAGCGCCATTTCGTTCTTATAAAAGCACGGATGACCGCGATTGGCCCATATGTTGTAGTCTTTTGAACGCTGAGTCGACTGGTTTTGGTCCGAAAAGGCTGCGATGCAGCGTTCCTCCTTTATTCCCAATCGAACATGGTTGAAGAAGCGGTCACGTGCTCCTGCGTACACCAGTCACCGTGCCTGCAGGGTAAAACTTACTAGCCTGTTTGACCTTTTTTGGGTGCAGTCCTGTCACTCGAGTTGAACTCCAGTTGAACCTAGGTGTGAAAGTTGTCGCATGCTGGCGTGGTGACCAGGTGATTTGGGCACCCAGGAGCACGTGACCGCTTGTTCAACCATGTTCGATTGGGAATAAAGGAGGAACGCTGCATCGCAGCCTTTTCGGACCAAAACCAGTCGACTCAGCGTCCAAAAGACTACAACATATGGGCCAATCGCGGTCATCCGTGCTTTTATAAGAACGACATAGCACTTTTAGTGAGATTTTGCATACAAATCCCCATCTAGTAGGGTGCAGTCACCCAGTTTCGGTGGAAGTGCGCGGGTTCGATTGGGAAAAAAGAAGGAAGGGAGCGTCGCAGCTTCCTCGGACCAAGACCATTCGACTCAGCACCCAGAAGACTACAACTGGTGAAAATTTGATTTTAGGGTATACTTCCCCTTTAATCTTTATAAAGTTATTACAATGTACATGTAGTTCAATCATGAATGTACATGTACATGTAGTTAGTAATGAAATTAATTTTAATAGTATTATTACTACTATACTAGTCCGGGAGCCGACCTTCAAGAAAGTGACCCTCCGTGTCGGGCGAGATGGAGTTCAACATCTCTTCAGCAATAGATCATGGACATGGGTCTTTTAGAGAAGGGCTTTCGAGTTCTTGGCCGCCCCGAAGCTGTGCACGGACTTCGCGAGGACGCATTTTGTTAGACGACCATGTCCAAATAATTCACAATTCTGAAGTATTTTGGCGCAAATATTTTCGTTCTCACTTGACTTCTCGGTTTGAGAAGTAGGTGCGCACACTCAAACTTCCAAATCAGTGACTATGCGCCTGTGCAGAGGATGACGACGCTGCATGCAAGCTTACTTTCTCAAAGCGTGACACACATTTTTTCAAGGAGTTTCGTTTTTCTGAAGAGGTGGCCTTATTTGCCTCTTCAGAAAAACGAAACAAAAGCCTCTTTTACGGGCAACAAAACATAATTTGCCAAGAAGAAGGATGTTAACACAAATGAAGAGAATAATTGTATGAAGAAAAAAGAAAAGAAAAAAAAGAAAAAGAACTTCAATCAGCCAACCTCTACAATCAGCACTAGGCACCGGCGGATTATGCCGGCATAATTATTGGCATAATTGGGTGGTTGAAAATTTGGAGCATAATTTGGCATCCTTTCGGAGGTACATAGCATAACCACATGATTGTACCACAGTTCTAGTATGTAGGCTACAGAATTGTATACAATGCACCTGATCAACGCTAGTGATCTGTTTGGTAAAGGGTTTGGAGGTCATGCAGATACATGTATAGTTTTCAGTGAAAAGCATGGTTTTATGAGGTATCCCGAGGTGGACGAGATAGTGTTGGGTAGTCCGCAAACAGACTCTGCGTACATGTACATTATTCATGTTACGAAGTCGTGACCTCGGGATTTTAGCAGCCGTGGCTGTGCAGGCTATGGATATTTCTCTAATAATTAAAAAATATCAAGTGAGGTATTGTTGATGTGGTAACTCGCTCGGACAGCGTTCCGGTTAGTCTCGCCCATGGCTGTGTCGTCTCTAACCCTCGGAACGTTTTGTGACAAGTATAGTCACGGCTGGCATAACGCAACTTCACCCAGTCCTAACCCAACACACACATAACCTACTGATCTCGTCAGAGCAGAGAATATGTTCCTGTTTGGAAGAAGAGCACCGAAAGAACCTCTCGCTAAAAGCAGCAGCATGCTATGATATAACACATGCTAGAAAACAGCAAGCAGCGGCAGTAGCGATAGTACTTGCTAAACATGCAGCTAAACTGCTACTTAGTCTTTGTCCGCTGCGCGGAACGGCGATCGGACACGCACACGCACACACATACACGCACAGGTCTGCGTGATCTAGAAGC